CAGTTGGTTGACAATAGCCTCTATCAGGCTTCGGGAGCAGCTAGAAAGAGCAGAAATTGGCCAAACAGAGAGAGATAACATGCCGAGGGAGTTGGTACGTCGCTTGAGAGTTCATTTTGCCGCATCCTTGGGTTGCAAAATGTGCCCTCACTGGCCGGCTAACTCCCTGGTATACTATTCCCTTTATTTTGGCCTATTTCAACAACTTTTCCAGCGATCCGTGGTGCCTGGTAGGGGCTAAGTTGACATCACGTGCACGGAAGGAATTCCCTAACCGCAGACCACAGAAGGTCAGACACAGGAAGCTAGGTCCAATATTCTAGCTTCTTTCCTGGGAGCCAACAGGAAGATGGCCCGGGTAGCAACCCCGCTAAAAATAATCTAAAAATTAGCCTTACATCACCACAGCCTTTGTCGGGAAAAATGACCCACTTTTTGGGACACAAAGCTCCCAAGCAGTCGGTCAGAGTTCAACTCTGTCTCAAAAGTTTATACGTGTGAACTGACCACGTGCACAAAATTTCCGGTTCGGCCGCCAAGCTCCTTTTTTTTTACTGAAAAGTTCCTAAGGATGTTCTCAGTGTGCAGAATGCCCTTGACCTCATATGACGTTTTTATGACCCCCCCCCCCCAAAAAAAAGATAAAAAGACGTACTGGTTGCTTCTAAATTGCGACATCACAATGGCCAGTCGAGTTTAACTGTCTGACCTCTGGTTAACCTCGATCGATCAACTGACCACACAGTAGATAGTGTCCTTGACGACAGCACACAAGGTCAGCAAACAAAGATGGCGGACGGCGGAGAGAACGTGCCCCACGGGGCTGGCTTATCCAATCAGAAGATTGTTGCCATGGTAACGGAAGGATCGCATTGTCCGTATGCGGGACAGCTAGAGACGTGTAGAGGAACTTCTGTCCTAATTAATGTGTGTAACCGTTTGTAGTAATGAAGTAAAATAACCTTTGGTATGCCTCAATTATGGCAAGATTTTCCGTAACTAATACTACGTTATGAAGACGAAAACAACGTTAACTTTGCCGATATTTTGTTGAGTGTAGAAAGACCATATTTTGTCCCTTCCCTTTTCATCTCAGAAAAAAAGTAATCGAAAAGGTTATACCATTTTAATCAGTGACATCTTCAAGTATTAGACATGAAGGTACTTTATATTCCGAAGTTGAAAGTGGAAAGCCAAAACGTTATACAGTTTTTATGTACTTTTCAATTATTTCTTTTGAAACCAGAGATTTGCCCTATTTTTTCCTACCATTTTTTAAAATCTTTTTTTCCATGTATTTTCTAATTACATGAATAGTAACCATCATCGTTTATTGTTAAAACGACTTGAGGTCGCTTGTGTAAGACTCCTGTAGACATAACCTGCGAACTTTGCCTGCCGCACAAAAGCTTTAGTCATCAAAAAACGGCGCCTCAGCGAGCAAATACTAACAAAATCGATCGTCAGATTTGCTTTTGCAAACCTTAGATCCTCACAATCATCAAAATTGGAACGAATAAGTAACAAGTTATCGATATCCAGTATTTGCTTCCCAAACGTTAGCTTGGTTGGTCATCGTTTTCAACCTAACAACAGAGGAATGTTGGGCGTCTAAACCGGCCACAGTAGCGTTAGCAGTTTTTTTATCTGCTAGAAAAAAAAAGAACAAAGGTTAGGACAAGGCCCGTTATCATTCCACAAAGAAAACGCCGATAGCAGTAAGTATAAAGTTATAAAATGAACCCTTGCGGACTAAATAAAAAAAACGTTGGATCACAACCACGTGTTAAAAAGTTTCTGCTGGTCACTCGTGATCACAAAATGAAGGGAAAAAATTGGAAGCGTTTTAAGACATAACGACTCAACGTCTAATTCTTCAAGAAAATCTAGGATCAGAAGAACTAAGAAATCGATTTTCTGTCAAGTCCGGGTGACACGTGGCTGTTCACACGGCAGGGTTAGGGCCGGGGTCGCACGTGGGCCAGACTCACGTTGCACGGGTTCATGAATATAGAACGTTAGAACGTTCCCGATCGAACGCGTCGAACCCCCTGTTCTGTGTTCTGTGTTCGAAATGGAACATGTCGAGGGTTCGATGCGTTCGATCGGGATCGTTCTATAGAACCCTGGCCTTCCATCAGTAATTTCCAGCCTACTCATCACGTTGCACGGGGTAAAAACGGCCGATAGTCTCCAAAAAGAGTTGTAGCTTCGGCTCGTTTTAAAGCGTCTTTTTGGTCGCTTTGTTCGTCTGTAAAGTCACGGATAAGAGACGTACAAAACCATCGAGAAGAAGAAAAAGACAAGAAGAAACCTAAATAAAACTTGCATAGTCTCCAATGTCAAGGTTACTAAGAGGTCTTGCGCTCTAGATAATCGGTTACTTGCGTGGTCTGAGCGTATATTGTCGAGTGTCAGAGAGTAAAAAGACATATTTCCGTGCATATCATCTTCTATGGATACATTTGAGGCCAGAAGAAGACCCAAGGAAGTCAAACTCACTCCTTTGCCAAACCTTAATTTTTCCACTTCTTGATCTCTAATACTAACGTAACCTTTATGTTACATGTATGTATTTAAACACACTTTTTCCCAGGGCAAGCTTCAAGCTAGTTGGGCTGCCCTGGCTGTTTTGTACCAGCCAAACCAATAAATAAATAAATAAACGTAACCTTAACTTTCTTCTCTCATGTTCTCAGACCGACGTTACCGGTGCCTGCGATGTTGAGTACGAGGCTGTTGACGAGCGCGGTCTCACCACGCAGTACAAGCGCACCAAGACTTTCCAGCGCTGCTCCGACCGCCGCCTCGGCAGCGAGACCGGCATCCAGGCTAACTTCTACAACAAGCAGTCCGTAAGTTCATTAGTGTTATAACGTGTAAGAATGTTTAAATAGCCTCGGCAGCGAGACTGGGATCTAGGCTAAGTTCACTAGTGTAACGTGCAAAAATGTTTGAATACCCACGGTAGTTAGACTGGGATCCAGGCTAACGTCTACAACAAGCAGTCCTGAAGTTCTAATTAAAAGTATCATAAAAACGTATCTAGCCTCACTAGACTGAGAACCAAATAATTCCGTAAATTTAACATGCAAAAACGTGCAAAAAGTGAGTCTGGGATCCAGTCAAACTTCGACCATAGCCTTCATCAAGTAGAATGACCCATTACATCCCACACGTGACCTTACAAACTCGTGACTCGGATAAGGGTCAAAGGTGCCAGAAAGCCTGTAACGTCCCCCGTCCTTCTAAAAAGTTAAAAAGTTCCTATCAACTACAAAATTGTTTCTCTGTGTTTTTAAACACTAGCATACAATTCAGCGCTACTTTTTTTAGTTGCGCTACCACATGCTAGAGATTGTAATAATCGATCAATCAATAAACAATTATTATTATAAATGTAATGCAACATGTTTTTCTTAATTTTTTAAATTTTTTTCCAGGACCGCCCCCACATTTTGGACAGCAACCAGGAATGCACACACACTATCGACAGCAACAGCGTGATCGAGTCCGTGACGTGTACCGAGCGTCATCTGCTCAGGCCCTTCTCTCACGGGGAGAACGGCGCCACCGTGCGAAGCACACAGACACTGCAGCTGACCCCGCAGAGGCCGCGCACCAAGTCTTCTCTCCGTAAGTTATCCGTAAAATCTTCTTTCTCTGCGCTTATGAAACATGTTTCAACGTAACAGTAAAGGCCAACACAAAAATATTGTACTCACCCAAATTATAATATTATTAATATCATAATGTTATCTTTACCTTAGCAGAAGGAAAATATATTGTTTTTGCTCAGTTTCTTCTTCTTCTTCACCCTGTGGTGTTGGGTTACGTTATGTAGCAAGTAGCAGGGCATCGTGGAAGGGGCTGGTCACCATACATATGGAATTAATATTTGAGTAAAAAAAAACAAAGCAGTAATTTGTTTGCTAGACGATGTGAAGGTAAATAATTACGATTTTGCTTTGGAAATGTTACCTTTTTCTAGTCTTCAATTCTTTTGCTTTAAATCTAGTTTTCTTCGTTGTGAAACTCAAATAACTTAATTTGAAACGCACCTCTTGTTCGCAGTGTCTGGTCTAGGCTTCAGCCGCTCCGACCTTCGGTTCGAGCACGACTCGCGCGACTCCCAGTCGGCCGCCGGGCGCGTGGAGCAGACCCTTCGGGACCTGTGCGCCCAGACCGCCGAGGACGTGCGCCCCGAGACCCCGGCCCTGTTCAGCCGCCTGGTGTACCAGATGCGCGCCATGAACGTGCAGGAGATGCGCTCCGCCGTCGCCAGGGCAGAGGGCATCTGCAACAGCGACCCGCAGAAGATGAAGTACGTATGAATGACGTAGGGCGTTTGCACTCACGTGACTCAATTTCTGTCAGACATGTTGGCGGGTTAAAAAATCAAGTCATATTGTAAAGTCTGCAAAGCGACCGCGACAAGGTGAAGTACGTATGGCGTATGGCGTTTGCACTCACGTGACTATGACGTCACTTTCCGTCTGAAGTCTAAGTTCAGCGTCCGCCATATTGGTAGGTTAAAGAATTCTTAGTTTCATTTTTGCATTGAAGGTATCTTCGTTTTCCAGCAACAACTTTGGCCGTCCTTTAATACTAAGTCTCCCAAGAACACTTGCCCCTGGTCACATCAACGTGACTGTTTTTTTTCTAATTTGTGACAATCCCTGACGAAGTTTTTTTCCCGTTCTCAGAAAAATCGCCATGGACGCTTTGACACTGGAACACATACAGTACAATTTTGCAGTGAATCTTTTTTTTTCTGACAAAACTTTGTTTTTGTACCATCAGGAAGTTCGCCCTGGACGCCATCCCGCTGGTGCATAACGAGGCGTCCGCGCGCCTTGTGAAGGAGTACATCATGAAGGGCGAGGTGACCGGGGAGCAGGCAGACGCCTGGCTCGCCGCTCAGGTCTTTGCCAAGAACCCCACCCCGCAGATGATCGCGGAACTGCAGGTGGGTTGATGCAACAACTTTTAGAGTGTGTACTAGCTGCGAAAAGTAGGAACAGGGGCGCTTTATGTTCTTGCTTAGTGCGCTTAGTACATGAAGGGCGAGGTGACCGGAGAGCAGGCCGACGCCTGGCTCGCCGCTCAGGTCTTCGCCAAGAACCCCACCCCGCAGATGATCGCGGAACTGCAGGTGGGTTTTATATAGCAACTTCCAGTGAAAAGTTAAGCGGCTGAACATGCTTTTTGTACCTTCTCAATCGGTAAATTAAAGGAGTAAAGAGTGAATATTGCCGTCAAGTTGCAAACTGCATTATTAAATCGGATTGACGTGACTTTAGATGGGTCAAAAGTACTAGTACCTGGAAGTCTGTCCTACTGTGGACTTTTTTTTCTATTCCAACATTTATCACAAGACATGGCGACGGCACACTCAAGTTTTTTTTTAACTTATTTTTTATGCCGCCACTAACGTTGACAAATGCACGGACAACAGACATACTCATTTGCACCTAAGCGAAGTGAGGAAAGTCGTGCAAAGTGCCTTTCCCAAATGCACAACTTCGGTGGCATGGCAGGATTCGAACTCGGGACATCTTGGTTCCGAGCCGAAAGTTCTGTGGTTGCGCCACTACAAATTCTTGTAGATGTTTACTGATTGTCCTTCTCTCCCCTTTAGCCCCTGTGTGAGGGTCGTGAGGTCCGCCGCTCCGCCTTCCTGTCTCTCTCCGCCCTCATCCACAAGTACTGCCAGGCCGAGTCCGACTGCGCCCAGCGGCCCGAGATCCGCAACGCTCTGGCCGTCTTCCAGAGGAACCTGGGGGAGAAGTGCCACTCTTTCTCTGACAAGGAGGAGGAGAAGGTAAGAACTGGTGAATGAACGAGTGACGAAGTGGATGAGTTAGGCCAGGAAAGAATGACTACTTGAATGAGTGAGTTAGCGAACGAAAAAGAATATCTTTGCTACATTGTCATAGAATAGAGTAAAGACAGCTTAAAGGCAAGTGAAGCTGTTTAGTCAAGAATACAAGCACGGAGTAATGGAATGAAGATTACAAGTAGTTGTCGTAAAGTCTTAAAAAATTAAGATCTTGATAAACTAACTAACAAACAAACAACGATGTACTAGTATGACGACTGACTTGTTTCCCCATTCTCCTCAGATGATGATGTCCCTGAAGGCCATCGGTAACGCCGGGCAGGCCGTGTCCGCTGCCCCCACACTGTCCCAGTGCGTCCTGACCGAGGCTAACCCCGTCACCGTCCGCCGCGCTGCCATGGAGGCCTTCCGCCGCCTGCCCTGCTCCGTCCCCGTGAGTACATGATACACGTTTCCTTCTTTTGGAATTCCCTGAAGTGTAGGCTAGACAAGCACCCCATGCTCTGTCCCCGTGACTACATGCTCCAGGTTTCCCTCCTTTGGGCCTCTTAAACTCCGTAAAAATTAAAACACCTGCAGACAAGCTCTGAGCACATAGTGTTTCATTCTGCTGCCTGCCCTGCTCTGTCCCCGTGAGTAACCGGTCTTACTTCCTCCTTCGTAACACCGTTAAGATTGAAACAAGTGCAGACAAGCTCTGAACACATAGGCTTTTATTCTGCCGCCTGCCCTGTTCCGTCCGCAAGAGTAACGGGTCTTTGTTACTTCTTTAATTTGGGACTTAAAGATTCAAACTTCAGACACACGACAGTGACAAAGAAGAAGTAACACAGCATAGAGTAGCTGCTCTAAGTTTCCTTCCTTCTGGATTCTTAACCTTCTGAATTTTTAAGAATCAACTGCAGCAACACACACATATCCGGACTAAGACTAAGAATGCAAACGTCTTACCGAGTTTCTTGAATCCCCCCTTGAACAGCGCACCGCCCTGACGAACACGTTCCTGAACCGTGAGGAGGACAGCGAGGTCCGCATCGCCGCCTACATCCAGGCCGCGCTCTGCCCCTCCCACGACTTCTTCAAGATCGTCAAGCGCGCCATGGACTCCGAGGACTCTTCTCAGGGTACGTCACTGTCTTATGTGGTAGCTTCTGGACATCTTAGATGTATTCTTCTCTTCTGCCTAGCGTTAAGCTGTCCACCTGAGCAACATTGCCTGGAAGATGTAGCCTTGTCTTCGGCCCATGGCTAGTGGTAATTTTGCAGGGTAATTTTGTCGGTTCTGGATAGTCCACGTGTCCAGAACCGTGCCTGGGGCACATCTACTTAATGTTCTTGGATACGTGCATGGAAACTATCCAAAACCGTGTCTGATCCTGACCTCAACCCATTCAGGCATAGGTCTAGATAGGCATGGTTCTGTGTTGCCTGAGTCTCAAACGTGACTGAGACTAAAATCTTATATTTTCTTCCCCCCACAGTTGGCTCCTACGTGTGGTCCGACCTGCAGCAGGTGCTGAAGCGCGATGACGAGTGGCGCAGCACAGTGTCCGACATCCTACGTAACCGCGAGCTGGAGAAGAAGTTCACCGGAGACAAGAGGAAGTTCTCCTCCGCCTGGACTGGATCCGTCTTCTCCGGTGAGAGAAAAATGCCTTTCTTACAAATTTGCAAAATGCGAGGCCAAGAGACCACTTCTAAGCACTGAATTAAGTTTGGGTTCCTCGAACAGCATCTCCTCTCTTTGTGGAGAAAATTTCTCTTCTTTAACATTGTCATTGAGGACGCGAAGTAGCCTGAATTGCATTGCTATTTACTCGCTTGGAATGTTGCATCTACAAGGACCGGTATGTCGGTGAAAGTATCTTCTTTGATGTGTAAAATGTTCTGTTTTACTTTTTTTTGTCGTTGCCGAAGCGTAACGTGCAACCGACACTACCCATCTACATTGTATCAATTATGAGCTAAACGCAAAGGCTGAAAGGTGTTAACCAACTAACCAAACGAAAAATACATTACCATAGCGTCATTGACGAAGATGAAAACTTTCAGAGTGAAACGACGGTTGACGTAGCAACTCATCACTACTGTTATTTTTCCAGACCGTTGGAAAATTGGCGGCGAGGCCCAGGCTGTCCTGGATTAGAGTTTAGTGTTTGTGCTACTGTTATCTTATGTACGCTCTCCTGTTGTTTTTCCAGACCGCTGGAACCTGGGAGGCGAGGCCCAGACCGGCGTGATCTTCTCCGACACCTCCTTCCTTCCCCGCAGCGCCCACCTTAACCTCACCATGATGGTCTTCGGCGCAGAGATGAACATGCTCGAGGTATGGTCATACTTTTCACCTTTCCTTAGTATCAACTCAGTTGTTCAGTACAATTAGACCGAGTAGCCACATAGCTGGAGACCGGATCTTATTAAAAAACTATCAACCCAGTTGCTTACTCGCTTTCTTCCTTTTTTACATAAAGACAATATCACAAATAAGCTATAGAGTCTGACGTATAGTATGCGTCTTTTGAAAACTCAAGGGAGAATAGCTTTTGTATATGAATTCTATGAAAGGGAGGATAGCTTTTGTATATGAATTCTATGAAAGCTAGTAGGGTAATTAAGTATACACGTATCCAGGTCTATGATTGAAGCAGTCTGAAGCAAGCAACCACATACGATTTTTACACAGTTGGCTAGTACATGTATGTTGCTTTAGTCAACACTTAAAGATTGCTCATAGCTTACGTGAAGACTGTAAAGTAACTTAAGGAAAGATGGTAAAATTTTAACTTACCTTATTTTATCTTACCTCACAGGTGGGCGGCCGTATCGAGGGCCTGAGCTACCTGGCCGAGTCTTTCTTCGGCCACCAAGGCTACTTCCCCGAGAACAACGTCCTGAACCTGCTGAAGACGAAGGAGAAGCGCTCCGTCCTGAAGGAGAACAAGCTGGAGGAGGTCCACCGCAAGGTACTTTATTAAGACATTCTTAGGGTCAGATATCGTAGGTGTGTCTGAAGACCTCATACGAACTAAAACTTTGTCCAGTGAGAGGCGTTATACATTTCCATTACCAAGTAGTACTGACTATTTCACATAAATGCGATGGAAAACAAATATGCAGGTCGTGTGCCTATATATTGCTGATTCGTTGGTGGTTACAAGGACGGCCCCTTGTGGAAAAAATCTAGCCAGGCTTCGGGAGGCGGCTGGAAAGAGTACAGATCGGCCAAATAGACAGATGATATGCCAGGGGACTTGGTCCGCTATGAGAACAGTTTGTCGCTTGTCGGAAGTGGCTAGAAAAGATATAACGTTATATATTTCTATTCTACACAGCATTTGTATTTCTTGATGTACATAGCGCAAACGTACGAATAGTATAAAACCTACTAGTTAGATGTGAACTTGACCATGACACATCTTTCCCTTCCCCTTCCCCAGTTCAACGCCAAGCAGGAGAACCGTCCGGAGGGGTCCTACTACGTGCGCATGTACGGAGACGAGATGCTGTACGGCGACTTCAAGGGTCTGGACATCCGGGCTCAGCAGCAGGGCTGGAACGTCATGGAGATCATGATGAAACTCGCCAGGCAGCAGGACTACGAGGTTAGCATCTCGCTACAATTTGCTACATTTTGTTACACTCATCAAGAGAGCTACATTTTGCTACATTATCGTTTATACTATGTTGCAACTCTACATGTGTAACGTTACATGATGAAACTCGCCAGGCAGCAGGACTACGAGGTTAGCTATTCTCGATCTCACTCGCTACATTTTGCTACATTTTGCTACATTTGCTACGTTTGGCAACTTAGCAATTCTGCTACATTTTCTACGTTGTAACTCTACATGTACATGGTGAAGCTCAATGCCAGGCAGCAGGACTACGAGGTTAGCCACTCTCTCGTCCGCTACATTTTGTTACACTCACCAAGAGAGCTACATTTTGCTACATTATCCAGGCAGCCAGGCAGGTAGAGCCTCACAGTAGTGAGAAAGGTCAGCTGGGAAAGGTCAAAAGTTCAATGAGTGCTATACCTGATTACCCACATAGTACTCGACCGCACAGTATAACCGACAGTCTATCTAATGGCACGAGGATAGCTGCTACATTTTTGCTACGTTGTATCACACATAAACAATGTTGCTACTTCGCGCGTGACATTGCTGTGTATCGGGCATGTGGCCAAGACGAGATTTGGGTGGGCTTTCATTATGGCTGACGGCCGGGTCAGCCGGGAAAGGTCAAAGGTTCAAGAGTGCTATGCCTGATTACCCACATAGTACACGACAGCACAATATAACCGATAGTCGATAGACCATGTTTTTGAAACCACGTTTTGCTACATACAATGTTGCAACTTTGCATGTAACGTTTTCCGCGTTTGCTACAGGTGACGAAGAGCACGATGTTCCTGGGCTCAACACAAAGAGAGCTACATTACATGTATACAATTTTGCAACTTTACATTTAACGTTTTCGCTGCTTCGTACAGGTGACCACGAGATCTAGAGCTACATTTTGCCACGTTGCAACTTTCCGTGTTTGTTACAGATTACCAAGAGCACGATGTTCCTGGACTCCACGCACACCGTCCCCACCAGCACGGGTCTGCCTCTGCGTCTCGCCATCAACGGAACCGCCACCACCAACGTCAAGGTTTCCGGCAAGATGGACGTGCGCAACATGGGCTTCAGCCCACGCAGCATGCACATCGAGGGACAGGTCATGCCCAGGTAAGGGTCTAGTTGTATCCTGCAGAGCCTTGCCTTATCCTTAACCATGCTCGAACATGGTTCAATATGTATACTAGTAGTCCAAGAAGAAGAAGAAGTAGTCCACGATCAACCGCTTTTTTTTACGGTTTTCACCATGATTTCACGGTTTTTACGATGTTTCAACGGTTTCCACTACGTTTTCACGACGATTTCACGGTTTTCAGGATGTTTTTTGTTGTTGTAATTTTTACAATGTTTTTGCGTTAATTTTAGGACCTTTTCCAATGTTTTCACGTTATTTTCATGACCTTTTCAGGATGTTTTCACGGTTTCTACGATGTTTCATGGCTTTCAGGATGTTTTTCATGTTATTTTCACAACGTTTTCACGTTATCTTCACGATGTTCCACTCCCACCAGCGCTGCCGTTGAGATCGTCAGCGAGATGGGGATCGACGCTCACGTCGCGCGCTGCGGGATGAAGATGGTTCCTCAGTTTTTCACGACATTTTCAGGTTATTTTCACAACGTTTTCACGTTATCTTCACGATGTTCCACTCCCACCAGCGCTGCCGTTGAGATCGTCAGCGAGATGGGGATCGACGCTCACGTCGCGCTCTGTGGGATGAAGATGGTTTCTCATTTTCACGACATTTTCACGACACTTTCACGACAATTTCACGATAATTTCACGACTTTTTCCTCACACAGTGCTGCCGTTGAGATCGCCAGTGAGATGGGGATCGACGCTCACGTCGCCCGCTGCGGGATGAAGATGGTGACCACCCTCCACTCCTCCACCTTCGCCGACGGAAAGATCATCCTGAAGAAGGGCAGTGACCTGGAGGTCAAACTCAACATGCCGCGCGACAAGATGGAGATCGTCAACGTCCAGTAAGTCACCAAGACTTAGAGAATTAAAATTGCCTTAAAGCTAAAAAAATTCTCTGAAAATTTAGTCCGCAACTGTGACAGACTTTTATCTATGATACTTCCATGAAAGTTCATCTTTGTTGGTTAAACATGTTTAAACTTTTAAGTTAAAACTTTTGATCCAACACAAAAATCTCTCAGCTAGAACTTTATTTAAGATGATTACCATACCATCTAAGATTTACTTCTGATCAAGTTATATGTGGCCAAAAGAGAAACCATCTAATTCTCTTGATATTGACTATTGTCCAAAGAGAGAAACCTCAAATAAAATACATTTTTCCTCCCCAGGTCTAAGGTGTTCCTGATTGTTGACCAAACTTATCACGGTCCAAAAATACTAGATTTTAAAGAAAAAAATCTGATAAATATTGTTCTCCTCCGCAGGTCCAAGGTGTTCCTGATAAACCAGGACCAGGAGTACGAAGTTCGCGGTGTGGAGGCCGGCCGTGTGGACGAGAGCGCCTGCACCGGCACCTGGGGCATCGAGACCTTCGGCCTGCAGATGTGCGGAGAGGTCCAGTACCCCAACCCAAGGTAGAGATCATATAGATATAACATAGGTCCAGTACCCCATAGGTCCAGTACGATGTTTCAGTAGGTCCAGTACCCCAACCCCAGGAAGTCACTTCTCTCTTGGGAGCCTTCTGTCGCTGTAGCTCTACTGCTATAGACTCGCCATACTCTGCAGAGTGACTGTCAACACACTGATGTAAATGCTAATAGTTGGCCGAACCTATTGTCTGTTTTTGTTGAATCTGGAGCAGAGGCTTGTTATATACCCATTCCTTAGTCTTCAACCATATTGTGCTGTTGTCTCTAGAGACAGACTTTTGCCAACCATCTCTTGATCACTGAAGTATCATTTTGTAAGTTACCGGAGATTAACAACATACCATAAGTTTCTCCCCTTGTACTCAGACTTGATGACCAGACCCCCTACATGCCCCTGACCCTCTGTAAAGGCAGAAGGAATGGTAAACCTTACTGTATTTCTCCTTGTTTCTGCAGACTTGATGACCAGACCCCCTACATGCCCCTGACTGGCCCCATGAGTGCTTCTGTCACCCTGAACAAGGCTGACGCTGGTCTGGACTCTTACGTCATGGAGGCTCGCTACAACATCAAGCCGGTAAGAGACTTTAAGTCCTTTCGCCATTCTTAAAGTTGTCATAGTGTCTAGATAATAGAATTGTCTAAAGATTGTCTAAATTCAGCACTAGGAACTTCCCACGAATTACGCCAAATTCAGGGAGTCCAACTTCCAAATTCCAACTTGCTGCAAATTACAGGGATAAAAATGCTTTCCATACGAAATATGGTAAATCAAAATAGCTTCCCTAAGTCTTACAGAAAATGGACACACAGGCCCTCAAGGAACACCTGGTCCAGCATATCATAGCTACTTCTCACTGACACTGGTTTTCTTTTGCACAGTCTCGTGTGAATGGTAAGAAGGAGAACACCTACTCCGTCCACTTCCTGCTGGACACGCCCGGGTCCCGCATCGACCGTAAGATGGAGCTCAACGCCGGCCTGAACATCGCTGGGAAGGCTGTGGAGATGTCCATGCAGCACCCCAAGAAATCTCTCACATTCAACGGTAAGAATTCGAACATGATCATAGCTGCACAGGAAGAACACTGCACAAGAGCTTCGAAGGCTGTTCCTTGCAGCTGTATGTAACAAATAACTTCCCAACAGGAAAGTTGGTGGAGATTGATAAAACTTTACATTTGGTCAAGACATAAGAAATCAAACTTTTTACTTTTCCAAAATGAAACAGTTCTAACAGAAATACAGAAATCATTACAAGGAGCAGGCTTTTAAGTGAAAAAGAAACAATAATAATATGATAGAATGCAAAATAATGGCATGTATGAGACATGGTACCTTAAAATGAAACACAGGTACTACTGAGAACAACTACATGTATTCATAAATGATGTATGATGTTTTTCTTCACTCATAGGAAACTACAACGACCAGGCTGAGACCAAGTCTGTGAACCTTGACCTGACGATTGACCAGAAGGACCAGTACAGCCTGAAGGGAGAGATGATGGTCGAAGAGCTCCAGGGCAGCTGGCGCTACATGCCCAGTCTCGAGATTAAGGTTAGTCATGTACATGTACCTTACACATTATGTTATGTTACTGTACATTACCGTATGTTATATAACATGATGTAGATGGGAGGAACTGCAGGGCAGCTGGCGCTACATGCCTAGCCTGGAGATTAAGGTGGGAATTTTTAAAGCTCCTCTGTTTAAAATCCTGTCAATTTTGGGACTGCACCTTGCTGCAACACCATCTTGACTTTGAAAATTGGAAGAATTACAAACATTACCTCCACGAATCGCAGCAAACTTGCTCTTAATTTGAGTTAATGGTCTGTTGCTCTGTAGATTCCTCGAACACACTCAGTCTGTTTCATGAAAGTTGACCAGCCCCTCCATCTCTGTCCTACCACTTGCTACATAATGTAACACCATAGGCTGTCTGCTACAGCACTAGTTACCATGGTGGCAGACGTCTGGTTTATCTGTTTGCATCAGAAGAAGAGGAAGAAGATAAAACAAAATAAAAACAGTATATGTTCTCTTTCTGCGAAGTTAAGCATAACTGGATCTCCATGTGTTGACCGTCTTTGTAACAGAAGAGGAAGAAGAAACAGAGCAAAAACAATATTTTTAAACCAAATTTAACGTCATTTTCCCCCAACCGGGGGTTAGACGTGCTTGCACCAGGTACAAGTCTTTTTTGAAGCAAGATTTTTACGGCTGGATGCTCTTCCTAACGCCAACCCAAACCCTAGTAGGGCCCAGGAACCCTCTAAAGCTAAGGTCCCAATTGGGAAAAGGGGCCCTGGCGGGTAGTTCCCGGGCTGTTTTTTACCACTTTCGGGCAGGACCCCGACGTGGCCCCGCGGGGCACCCTGCGGCTACCGGGCTATTTTTTGGCCCGTCGGGGCCCCGATAAGAATTTAATTCTGAGTTAAATTCTACCCGGGCCCCGCTGACAAAAAGACGCCGTGACCTCATCGTGAGAACACCGAGAGGTACCCCTCCGGTTGCCGGCATTCCACCGGGACACATTTCTTACGTCACAGACCAGATGAACAGAATAAAGGTGTGTACTTCGTAAACCCGGGTAAAATGTGTGGCCTCACAGATCAAATGATCACAACAAATTCGAATTCTGCATTACGTATAGGTCAATACAAGACATCGTCAGAAAATCTGCTGGGTACCTGCCGGGTGCCTGCCGGATACCGACCAAAGAGGGTGACAAAATTTCTAACAAAATGCTACTGAAGGAAACTTTTAATTGTGACCACGACAGCCGATGCCCGCTCGACTCCTGAACCCGGCCGGGGCCAGCCGGGGCTACATTCCCGACGGGCACCGGCGTAATTGGGACCTTAGCTTGACTGAGGGGGGAAATGCGTGTTAAGTGCCTTTCCCAAGGGCACAACGTCTGGGTGCAAGTCCGGACATGTCTAGGTCCAGCCCTGGAGATTGAACCTGGGTCTTTTTGCTTGACAGTCGGACGCTCTATCCACTACACCACACAGACGCCACAATATGTTTGAAGGTAAAGATAACTATATCTGCATGTCTGACTGTGTTTCCCTGTTCAGGTTCCCCAGATGAAGACCATCACAGCTAACGGCGTTGTGGGCTGGGAGCAGGACAGGAAGGCTGAGCTCACCCTCACTCTGCAGGGCATCAAGTCTGCCTACATCAACTAATTTCTGCATCTTCGTGTGTTTCCCTGTTCAGGTTCCCCAGATGAACACCATCACTGCTAACGGCGTTGTGGGCTGGGAGCAGGACAGGAAGGCTGAGCTCACCCTCACCCTGCAGGGCATCAAGTCTGACTACATCAACTAATTTCTGCATCTTCGTGTGTTGCCTTGTTTAGGTTCCACAGATGAAGACCATCACGGCTAACGGCGTTGTGGGCTGGGAGCAGGACAGGAAGGCTGAGCTCACCCTCACCCTCCAGGGCATCAAGTCGGACGACATTGTCCTCTCCACCTCCATGGAGGCAACCACCAAGGCTGACAAGAAGTCCTACTCTCTCGACATGCAGGTGAGAGGCTCTTACCTAATATTCTTTCTCATTGCATCTTTGGAAACAGATAGCATTGTCTAAGGATACTACTTGCAATGTAGACATGTTGAAAAAGTTTTGGTCGAAAAAGTTTTGGTAACACAAAATGTGTTCCTTATGGGAAGTTGCACAGTCAATTATGAAATAAGCTCTCAATTTGTGACAGATTTACAAGGCTACCTTCTCTATCCTTTCCTCCTTCCTTCCTTTATATACTAAGTTAAACAACGAACGCATCTCTGCATTCATAACTGCATGCAGATGAAGTATCCTGAAATCATCTCAATTAGCTGCAGATTTTCGAAGCTGCTTTCCCTTCTTTCTTCTTCTCCTCCTTCCCTCTCTCCCTTCCTCCTTCCTTCAGCCTTATCCATTCTTTAATTGCAAAGTAATGACAGACACTTGTTTGCATTGCTAACTTTGGATAAGTACCTGTTTCCTTTTTGAACATGTCTACATTAGCCTCCACCAGGTTTAATAATATTTCTTCTCCTCCTTCCTAATCTCTCTCCTTCATTCTGTTCTTGAAGTAATGACAAATGCTCATTTGTGTCTTCGTAACCTCAGATGAAGTACCCTGAGATCATCGATGCTTCCCTGGACGCCGAGATTGAGGGCAAGGACAACGTCTTCACTCACGTCTTCAAGGTCGAGTACTCGCTCTTCGACCAGAAGAAGGAGACCATTGAGATGAACCAGAGGTGCGTTTGTTTGTTTGTTTGTTTGTTTGTTTGTTTTACCTCTCATTAGGAGTTCTGTTCTAGCTGCTAAAGTTCTTTCAATTGATGTTGGCCTCCGTAGCAGGCTTATAGAACTGGGGGTTTGGTGGTCTTCGGCTGTTTTCTGATTAGCCTCCGTAGCAGGCTTATAGAACTGGGGGTTTGGTGGTCTTAGGCTGTTATTTAAAAAAACGGGGTAATTCAACCAGGCCGGCTATGTTGTTTATATGCAATCAGAAAATAGCACATAAAAAGCTCCCAAAGACCCTGAAGACCCCCAAAACCTCGAGTTTTTGGCATGCCATGGAGGCTAAATTAATGTATAGAAGACCTTGTACTTTTACGCTCTTCAATCTAAGTCCAGTCCAACTTACTACATCTACAATGTCTAACATATACTAGTATGTAAAGATTCAACCTCTTCTAGGTTCTTTGATATTCTCCACATAAAAATTCCAATTACCGTATGTCAAATGAGTCTCATGCTTTCCAGAGGAGTTAGTCAGCCATACAGGTACAGATTTGCCTCCAAAGGACTTTTGTGACTGAAAGACTTGCTTTGAAATCATTTTGGTGTGTTTCAAAGACATTGCAGTGGCCTGTTTCTTTGTTTGACAAGAATGCTATATCTTAGGGATATGCAGACTGCATGGTTTGTGTAATATGAGTGTTGTTTTTCTTATGCGTTTTCAGGCTGCGCAACCTGAGCCCCGAGTCCCTTACCAACAGGAAGTATGTCGGCTCTCACGACTTCAAGTTCTCTTGCTTCCCTGACTTCAACCACAAGGTAGGTTATTTATTCATTGGTCATCATAGGTTACATAGCTGGAATCATTCAACCAGTTCACAGCTCAAGCTCGACAACATCTCTTCATTTTAACTATTGGCAAATCAGCTAGCTGAGGTACTGTGGTGTAGGGAAGTGGCATGATGCTTCTGTAGTGGATAGCGTGTATATTGAGTGGGCCCAGTATCATCCATTGTGGTACACCAACCACAGGAATAAGCTTCTCTGGGCTACTTCTCTAGGCATTAAAAGAAAAACCAATTACAAATCTCCCGTGTTCTTGTGCAGATCTCCATTAACCACGAGAACACGCAGGCAGTTTACAAGTAGTCTACCTTATGCTACACCAATGCTATGCTGCTTGTTACAATCTGGTGTGTTTTTGCGCAGATCTCCCTCAACCACGAGAACACGCAGACGGTTTACAAGTCCGGGCTGCAGCTGGACTACGGAAAGGCCGCCTTCCGCGACAACAACCTCAAGCGTGTCATCCTCTCCAGCGAAGCCACCGACGGATCTGACAGGTAACTAGTATTCTATTCTGTCCTGACAATATGAACCATGGTGAAATCAGATTTGATATCAGCCCTACAGCTTTGGTTATGGCTGAACAATGCTATACAAGCATGAAGGTCTCTGCCACATATAATATACATTGTAGGGCACATCTTTAAGTTGACTCAGTTCTGTTGCAAGTATTCTATTCTGTTCTGTTCTATTCTAGTCTAAACGCGTTTTGAAAGTCATGCAGTACAGCAAATGGTTAGCAAATATTTACAGGGAAGAATTGTCACTATATACATGTAGTAACACCTGGCTAAGTACATGTAAATGTACATGTACAACAGGGGACTGACAAGTACATAGGTCCAAGTACACATGTACATGTATGACACTGGGCTAACATTGACAGATATTTATAATAGTTACCTTTAGTTAGTTTTATTGTACTCCGGGATCTAATGTACATAATAATTATTACCCAGGTCCCAGTACATGTATGACTGTGAGCCGAGATGTACTGTACTCATGGTTTCTAACATATTCCCCCCAGGTCCCAGTACATGTATGACTGTGAGCTGAAGGTGCAGCACCCAGAACAGGAGATTGACGCTGAGCTCAGCTTCCACCACCAGCACAGCACTGGCCTCATCAAGGACCTCAACACCAGGCTGTCTGTCACTTACGACAAGGTTAGCAGCAAACTTATATATCTGTGTATTCCAGAATGTAATGTACGTATGTAACCATACACAGACCTCAACACAAGGCTGTCTGTCACTTACTACAAGGTATGTACCAGGAGATATGCGTTTGGGCTTGGAATATAACTTTGTAAAAGAGACAAACTGTATGGCACAACTGTAGCAGGTAATATACAATGTGGCAGCTTGGTACATACTGTCATGAATTGTAATAGAAGCTGAACTATTGTTGAACCCTAACAATTGCAGTGTATAAAAGCAGTGAAGGCTTTCTATTCAGGCTGATACTCTTACTAATAGCTTGTAAACAATATATTCGGAACTCAGTATGCAGAAATGTGTAACACTGCATCGCAAGTATCCATAATGTAGTCTCATCCAATGTGTTGCTGGGAAAGTTGAAGCAACTGTTAAAGTTAAATGTTAATGGTACATGTACATGTAGGTTGTTAAAGATGTTTTGTTGCACTATTTTCCCCAAAGGAAAAGGAGCCAGTTCTTGTCCAGATCAGCTACAAGAATGAGACAGAGAACAACAACGGTCTGATGAAGATGGGAGGAGGCCTGACCCTCTTCACCCCCATGACCCGCATGCGCTTCGCTGAGGACATTGAGGAGACCTCCTCCATGGAGTACAAGGCCGTCAGCACCATCCAGCTCGAACAGGTAGGGTTACCCTTTCAGTGGCGTTCTTGTGTGTGTGTGTGTGTTTGTGTGTGGATGGTGTTCAGCACCAAGGACAGGCATGTATGTGTTTGTGTGTGTGTGGATGGTGTTCAGCACCAAGGACAGGTCTGTGTGTGTGTGTATGTTGTTCAGCACCAAGGACAGGTATGTCTGTGTGTGTGTGTGTGTGTGTGTGAATGTGTGTGTCTGTGTGTGTGTTGCCAACAGTTGCCGTTTCCATGTCCTATGCAGGGTGCCCAGTGGCAGGTTGACAATGACTAGTTGTGTAACACTGTATGGATTGTTACTTTTTTGCTACTAAAATATCTTAGATACAATGTTGCGATATGTTTACTAACCATTTCCGTGTCCATGCAGGGTGCGCAGTGGCAGGTTGACAAGACCCTGAAGTGGCACGAGGACCAGAAGGACGGCAGCATCCGCGTTTTCGTCCCGAACAGCGAGGAGCAGACTCTCTTCCGCGCCGCCGCGAACTTCGACCAGAAGCGCGCCGGCTTCACCGTCCACGGGGAGATGGAGACCATCCAGACACAGCTGTCCTCTGTTGACCTCGTGTACAACAACGTTCAGGACAAGTAAGAACTTTATTGCACGACAGTTGCACATGGTACAATGTATGGCAAAGTACAAATATAACAAACACGTAAAATATGTATTGAATAAGACCTAATGTAGAATAAAACACGGGGAGATGGAGACCATCCAGACACAGCTCTCATCTGTCGACCTCATCTACAACAATGTTCAGGACAAGTATGGGACCAACCTGCACCTTTAAATTTGATATCACATTGTAGAGCCACCTCAACTTAATTTGTTGGTTCTCAGATTTTTTCAGAAAAAATATGAAGCGACAGGGCGAAAAAAAAATAAAACAGGTCTAGGCATCCTATTACAGCCCCAAATGCTACGATTGGAGCCATGAAGTCAACACAAAAGGCTGGGTTAATAAACAATGAATTTGTAACCACTGCATTGATAGATGGAGAAACTGTAACTAGGAAGAAAAGGACTTTCCTCAACTGTAAAGGGACAAAATATGAGCATTTTTGAGTTGATTCAGAAACAGAATCTGGCAGCTCAGGATGTAAGATGCTGTGTCCAGCTAGCTCCATTCTCCACCTCCTGATCTTTTCAGAGATGCTAAATAATGTTTCTTATGAATGTCTTAGGTACGAGACCAACCTGCACCTTAAGGTCCCCCAGATGGAGATCAAGAACGACTTCGTCCTGGACAACGCTGAGATGAAGAAGTCTGTCTCCATGGATACCCAGTGGACCAACCCCCAGCAGAGGAAGCAATGGCTCGGCGTGGAGGTATTTTAATATAATGAGCTTTTAACATATTTCAAGTTCTGGAGGCCTGCCCGCCTTAGACCAAGGCCTCCCCCCCCCTAAAGTGCCCCATCAGGGGCTATATGGGGGTGTAGCCGGGGCTTGTACAACATCTTAGAGCCCCGGCAAAGATGAAGATGAAGTTAGAAATGACGATGGCATGTGTTGATGATGGTTAAACAATACTGATAGTAAATTAAAACCCTACTACTGTGTAAAAATTACGGAGAATAATTTCCGGACGTTTTGAGTGACATCCACCACTCTTCTTCAGTGTTACTAATGGACTATGGCAATGATTTTAATGTTTGGTAATTATTTATAAGTAATGTCAGATCAATTCAGGACAATTGCCAGGGACCTGCTATTCTGTACAGAAGAAGCAGAACCACTGCAGTAGAGTAGTTTTAGAGCTGATGTAGTTAGATTAGTATCAATAGTCCTGTTTTTACTACAAACATGTATATTACCTTTTCATCTGTTCCCCTGTACTTTATTGTACATGAATATACAATAAAGGTTATCTGTTATTAAGTGCTGACTGTTATTATTGATAGGTCCACGGCTCCGTGGACAACCGTGACTCTGGCCGTGAGCAGCGTCGTGTTGTGAACCTCGGCGCGGCCCAGAAGATCGGCAGCCAAACCAGGCAGATGGACGTCAATGCTGACGTGTTCATGACTCCCTACAAGGTCTACGGCGGAGAGGTCAGTGATTTTTTTATTTATCTTTTTTAATGAAGATTTACCACATTTGTGGGAGGATTGACATAACGGGTGACTATCACCTCTTCAAAGATGTCAACCCCGAGACCAGACTGCAAAGTTTGAACCACTCACACCGGGAAGGTCCCCTACTCTTTTCGATAAGTCTGGTGGGTTCTTTAACGTGCACAGGGCTCTCCCCAAACATGGGACCTCCATTTAACGTCCTATCCAAGGCACGTCCCGAACCGAAGCTAGATACTCATTTTCACCTGAGTGAAGTGAGGAAATTCATGTAGATGGCCGTCAATGCTGACGTCTTCATGACTCCCTACAAGGTCTACGGCGGAGAGGTCAGGGATCTTCTTCTTCTTTCATTTTGAGCCTGAGGCCTCAAGGAAAGTCATACTTCCCAAAGGCACAAGATCAGTGGCATGTCAGGACTCAAACCCGGGACCTCTTGCTTCCCAGTCAAGTACTTTGCTGTTATACCACACGACCTCCATTGGGATTGAAATTTTAGCACCCCTAAATTTGTTTTTTACTATTTCCGTCTTTCGATCTTTAGAATTAAAAATAGATAACACAGCTAATAGAATTTCTTCTTCTACAACAAGCGTGTTTTTACTGACATGTACACCTAGTAGATGCATAGTCACTTGGATAACAAATGTAGTCCATTCTACATAATCATAATACATGTATCTACTGTCACTACGTGTGTGATGCTCATTTTTCACTTGTTCATTCCTTTGTTCGTTCAGGTTTCCTTTGAGCACAAGGGCACTGACAGGACCAACAAGCTGTACAAGACCGTGGTGAACTCCCGCCTGAGCATCCCCGAGCGCAAAATGGACCTGACCGTGGAGCAGCCTTACGACTGCGACATCTGTGAAGGGCTCAAGATGCCCAAGAAGGTCTCTGTTACCGGCCTGAGCCAGGACAAGGGCGTGGGCAAGCTCCACTTTAAGATGGACGGCAAGGTTGACGAGACCCAGCCCATCACCCTGGAGTTCAACTGGGGGCTCGAGGTTCGTTTATTTGCTTGTTTTGGTTAACTGATAGACTGCCTTTAGACATAACACCAGTTTTGTACAAGTGAGTACAAGCTGCGTAAGACCTGACTGTAAGGTTTGAACCACTCGCGCTAGGAAGGACCCCTACTCTTTTCAATATGTACGGCGGGTTCTTGGTACTGGGTTCTAACCTATACCAATGAAAGAGAATGTGCTGGAGGCATAAAAAAGCTCTAAGGCTTGTTCATGTTCTCCTCTTTTTATAATTAAGAATATAATTAATACTAATTTAAGTATAATAATAATAACACCAATAAAGAAAAAAATAATTGATTACTTATGTGATATCAATTCTGGCCATGATCCATTGGTTATGTTGTAAATTCAACGAAAAAGAAATACCTATCAATAAAAAGCTTGCAACATATAAATATATATCATTAAACATTAATAAGTAAACTGATTTCCCATTTCTCAGGTCCTGAACAAGTACCGTGGAGACATGCAGAGTGACGTTTCCCTCGAGTTCCGCCACGGCCTGAGGCTTCCTGAGTACATGTCCCTCCCCAGGCAGATGAGTCTGACTGGAATGGGCAAGCTCGAGGGCCCAGGAGTCAACTCCAAGGTATCTTCTACAGTGTTGCACCAGTTTTAACCATTGCAAGTTATTGTAACAGTTATATATTTTTATTAGGTGAAATACTGTTTGTTTGTAGTGAATCGTTTTTAAGCTTTGTAAACTGGACGTAATTTAGTTATAGACTGCAATATTCTTAAGTAGCCAATGCATCTTATTATGTAAAATATTGTTTGTAGTGAATTGTTTTTAAACTTTGTTTGTAAATTGGACGTGATACATTGGTCTGTATCTGTATTGGTGTAGCCGCTATAACTGCCATTCAGTGTAACATACCAGCTTTGCAGGCACCTAGCTATGAACAGAATGATCTGTTACACCCAATCTTGCAGTTGTTTAAAGCTTCCTAGTGATGATCCCGTTGCAATGTCCAAGAAAGTAATCTCGAATCTTGAATCTTCAGCTTGAGTTCACCATGAATGAGAACAAGAAGATGACCGTTGAGCAGGAGTACAAGACCCACCATTTTTCCAAAAAATTTCGAGATTTTTTTGATAGCTAATATAAAAATCTCAAATGTTCAATAGAGTAACATCTGTGTCCATAATATCACCAGGATCCATAATATCGCCACCTTGAAAAACAGTGTGCTTCAAGATATTTTTACTGCAACATACTTTTGGTATGCACTCCTTCACACATCAAATGTACATACCTAGGGTATGTTGCAGTAAAAATATCTTTAAGCACACTATTTCTCAAGGTGGCGATATTATGGACCCTGGTGATATTATGGACACAGATGTTAAATCTTGAATCTCTTGCATCTTCAGCTTGAGTTCACGATGAATGAAAACCAGAAGATGACCGTTGAGCAGGAGTACAAGACCCACCGCCACCACACCGGCTTCGTGCGGCGTGAGATGACCCTCACCGGTACCCACAGCATCCCAGACTTCCCTCTCCCCTCCTCCAGCAAGGTCTACGTCAAGGTGGACCCCAAGGTGAGGAATCTATAGGTTTTAAGAAACAGCACGATAGTGGACGTGTTGTTCCTTATTCAGCTACTGAATGGCTAACCTCGTCCGCTCTTCTGACTGCAGGGCTCTCCCCAAGCAATGAAGCAAAGGTGCTCCCGCTCTCCCCAAAATCCTAGCACCTCTCCCAAAATGTTTAAATTTAGGGTTTTCCCTTAGTATTTACATGAAAATTCACAGATTTTAAGATTTCACAGGGCTAAGTGCAGTACATAAAAATGTAGTTTGACATGTGTCGTATAGATACTAAAATTCTACAAAGGTGCTACACTACATCTATTGCATACAGATGAATGAACCTATAAGGCTAACATTGATATAGTTAATGTTTATTATCATTATAATAGTTAATTATTGAAATAAACCTGTTTTTCATTAATTCATTCATTCCAGAGTAACGAAGACGTTGCTATCAAGACGGAGGTGACCTACGGATCGTCTGATGCCTCCATGGACGTTACTTACAAGGGCAAGAACCAGCGTGACTGGACACACGATGTCACCATCCTGACTGCCCACTCCTTCGATGTGGAGGTTAGTTAGTTTGTTTGTTTTATTTCAACAAAGGATTCATATCATGCTCATTAGATGCACCTGTTAAGCAGATGCACAATTGGCATTGGGATGGCCTTTCAATTATTGGTGAAAGACAAACTTGCTATCAGCACGTTGAGATGTTCATGAACCCCAATTATAACTTGCTCCCATTCATCCCACAAACATTCAACCAGAATTTCAGCTTCCAACAGTTTCAGGCTTCCAAAACCCAAGTAGTAGTTACTGTTAGTAGTAGTAAAATGAGAACATTTGAGTACCTGACAATCCACTTTTGGGACAAACTACCACAACACATCAAAACACTTTCCAGCAGATCCAACTTTGTCGTTACTGTAAAGTTACACAAATTACTAACTACTAAAACCAAATAATACATGATGCATAAAATCATTGAACTTGCATCATTTGTCCAGGTGCCCCGTGACATGAAGGTAGACCTGCACGTAGAGAGGAAGGGCCTGAGTGGGGAAGGAAAGCTGGAGTTCTCCTCCAAGACAAAGCGCTGGACCGCCTCCCTCGAGGGGAAGAGCGAGAACACCGTCTCCGAGGACGGGAGCTTCGACGTCGGGATGGACCTCACCTTCCAGCACGCCATTCCTGAGATGATGGAGGTTGGAGTGCCAGCAAAGATCGAGCTCAACAACAGGAATGAGCTGAAGTGGGGAAGCAACGTCGAGTATGAGACAACCCTGGACCTGAAGTACAGGTACTGTAACTGTATTTAGTGATCTCCCATTTGGTGATCTCCATGTCTTCTTGTGTATCACCTTATGTTGAAAGTAGGTATTTCCGATGTTGAGGCTGTTGATGTTGCAGAACAACAAAAGACGTGTAACTGAACTAGGAACTGGTTTATTCATTTTACAACACACATACCATTGCAGCCTTACAATAGTTACATGGCTGAATTGGGGCTTGAATGATACACTTTAAAATTTATCAAGAATGGTTCAGCAACTTGACAATAAAAAGTAAAACACTATTCTTAAACCTAGACGTCCTGCAGCTAAACTGCGTGAAATTGTCCTTTGATCAGTTCTCTGCCATGCAGGCATCCACTTGTATTTCCAAGTATTATGAGTATACGAGTATTACGAGCAGTACTGCATTTCTTTGTAATTACTTCCATCAATCAAGTTTTGTCAACTGAACAAATCAAAATCATGTGTAGTACCATGTGCAATTCAGTGACTGCAAAAGTTGTCCACCAATAAAGACATCTTGAATCTTACAGCGGGAAGTTCTTCAAGCAGCAGATCACCTACAGCGGACCCAACACCTACGAGGGGCGCCACGAGCTGCACTGCGTCTACACTCACCTCATCGAGGTTTGTTTATAACATTCTTAATTAATGAAACTGTTACTGTTATTATAATTTCAGAGGTTTGTTTATGCAATTCTTTGTTCATAAGAGGTACTCTTGAAGTAGACATATGGGTTTTGGCTTGATTTAGGCGTGTTTATAGACTTTTTTATTGGGCTTTTTTTTTTACTGGAAGTTTTTTTTTACACCAACCCAAACCTTGCACATGAGAGGCTCAAATCAGTCTGCAGGCCACTTGTCATTAAGGTCACGAGGAAGAGATAAAAGACAGACAAAAAACATCATCTATACAGTTTATTGACACATATATAAGAGTCAGAGCTGGTAGATGGTTTGTGTCCGTTTGTTTTGGTCATTTTTGATCTCCGTTGCTTCAAGGTGGTACTGTTTGTACGCCATTATTGAGCATGTATCTACCCTTGTTGTCTATTCTCTGCCATGCATTGTACCAGTTACAGTTGTTGATTTAATTTCTGATTTCTGTCACTTCAAGGTTGCGCCGAAGGAGTACCGTATGGACGCCATCATCGAGCGCATCGACGACCTGAACTACAGCGAAGACATCAGCATGACCTGGGACGGGCGCAAGCAGTACCACCTGGTCAGTCTGTCTTCAGTTTTACTTATTTAAAGGCATCCAATGCAGTTTTTAGGGCTAGGATTAGTAGGAAATCCAATTTTTCTAAACCAATATTCTAGTCATTTATCTACATAGTGAGTTAAAACCACCCTGTCCCAATGTATATTAACCCTCATGGAGCAAAAATTCCCAAAATTCTGACAGAAAATGGTTACTGGAAAGGCCCTGGGCTGATTTTTAGATTACCACCCAGAAAATAAAGGACTCATCTTGGGGCTTGTTTCTGCATAATGGCCTTTTACAGCATCTATGACTCGGCACTGAGTTCTGTGTAGCCTCAATGCAATTTTGTATGGGCTTTTGCTAGGGCTTAAAAGTGTATATTTTGTAGAAAGTATTTCCAAATTGCAGAACAATATTTTGACACGTCGATGAAGGTTAGACATCAAGGTAACAAGATACGCCAGAAAGCAGTTACTCAAGCAACTGGATATATGATTTTGGAAACGGTCAGACGTTTCAGCTAGTATCCACTGGCTTTCGTCAGTGACTGAGAGACCAGAGGAGAAATGCAGGCTTATAAGCACAAACTATTGATTGATATGTAAATATTTTGACATTCTGCAATATTGCAGAACATCGAAAAAAAGTTTTCCGACCACTGATGGAACTTTTCCTCGAAGGAGGATTTGTTACTCTTTCTTAAAGCAATCATTTTCCTCCCATAACGCAATCATCATTCACTTTCTAAGATCTGATGCCTTTTACAGGAACTCTTTCTTCCAAAACACTTGTAATTTACTAATATGCATCTAGTTTTTTTTCTGTATTGTTTGTATGTCTCTAGAGTTTTGTATAATTTTTATGATATACTGTGTTTTTTGTTTTACCTGAAATAAAGAATAAATGAATGGAGCTTTTTCTCGTACAGGTCCGTAACATGAAGCACACTGTGGAGAATGGCAACGACGTCTACACTTTCACCGAGAGCGTTGACCAGGCGTACAACCTGTACATGCCCCACCACGACTCCAAGACTCGCCTGGTCCTGGACAGGGACTTCTTCCCCCAGGTATGTGTGATGAAAGTTCATCTGTGTTGGTAGTTATCATGGTATAAAATGTTGAACATCGAATCCCTTGACCATACATTGTACCTCTCATTGGACAAAGTGAGAATACTGGAAACTGAACAGGACTACTTTTTAAGAGGCATTGAGGAGGCCAAATATATATATCAGGGCACTCCAGCTATTAATAGAGATGGTGGACGATATAAACTCCCTGGCACTTTTGACCATTGCTGACGTCACATACCTGTGTTGGTAGTTATCATGGAATAATGTTGAACATCGAATCCCTTGACCATACATTGTACCTCTCATTGGACAAAGTGAGAATACTGGAAACTGAACAGGACTACTTTTTAAGAGGCATTAAGGAGGCCATATACATATCAGAGCACTCCAGCTATTACTTAACAGACATGGTGGGTGATATGAACTCCCTGGCACATTTTATCAATTGCTGATGTCACGTATTTACATATTCGCCAATTCTTGTGTGAATAAAGTTACGTGTCTGTAACCCTAACTCTCGCAAATTTACGTTCGGAAGTGATATGGCCATTAATTATCTTGATGAAGGTGACAGTGGTCGTTGAAAGTCTGATCTCTGTGTTGGATATATTTCAACATTTTACTATTTATACTATTTCCCCCAGGAGCTGTCCTTTGACTTCAACTACATCAACGAGGAGGCTAGCGAGAAGAAGATGAACACCAAGATCACGTACGAGGGTCCACTTCCCAACGCCTTCCAGGGTCACCACGAGCTGCACTTCACCATGAACCACCCATGGGACATCGCAATCCCTAAGGTTGGTTTCGTTGTCAAGAAGAGATTCATTTGTCACATATACATGTAGATACAGCTATTAGAAGATGCTTCCAACAGTAACAAGTTTGAAGGGTAAAGATACTGACCTCCGAATCTGCAAATCTCGGGCCTAGACTTGCCCTCTCGTGAGACTAGGCTACTCCGTGAACAAGATGGACTGATAGTCATCGAAAATTTGGAGGTCAGTATCTTCAAAATTGTCACTGTTGGCAGCAGGGAGGAGAAGCTGTAGTTACTAATAGCTGTAGTAAGACTGTCACCCTCCTCCCCATCAGGTGTCTTCCCTGGACTGGGCAATCTGTGTGCACCCCCTCCCATTACACAATGTTGTAAAACTACTTAGTAATTGACTTGTAACTTACCACACACACACACACGCGCGCGCGCGCACACGCACACACCTGGAAGCACTGAGTGCCTATGATATAATGTTTGTATCAGTAGTAACATTTTGAACTTGTGACCATCCTCCCCCCAGGTTTCCTCTGTGGACTGGACCATCGACAGCAATGAAGAGAGGCTTTACGACAGCCGCTACACGATGCGCTGGGATGGAGAACAGATGATCCTGAACAAGCTCGTCCGCAAGTATGTTTGTTTGTTTGTTTGTTTTATTGGGATCCCATTAGTGTTTAATATACACTACTCTTCCTTGGGTCCATAGAACACAACACAATCAAAAAGTTTTCTCACCTAGAGCTTTCGACCAGTCACTCTGGTCTTCCTCTGTCAGTAGACTTACAAGCCATATGACTAGCTTCACTGGGTCAGTCTACTGAAGACCAGAGTGACTGGTCGAAATCTCTAGGTGAGAGAACTTTTTGTGTTGGATCTAACATGAATACAATATTATAATTATGATGTTAAGGTAATGATTATCATAATTCCAACCATGTAGGACCCTGACCGGCAAGCACGAGGTGTACGCCGTCTCCTACGACATGCAGCAGCCCTTCGACTTCATGGCCAAGAACAGCGAGGGAACCGTGCTGGTCCAGCTGGACAAGGTCACGCTGTTCCCATCCAAGGTCAGTGCACTCTGCAGACTAGACATTTTCAATATTGCAGACTCCAGGAAAGAAACATTGAGAACCTTGCAATTTTGCAGCCTAAAAATAAGGTTCAATGGTGTTGGCCTCTGGCCACACTTTTGCCCAGATGTGCTGCACAAACAACATATCTTGCTTCTAAATCCAGATGCTGGGTGCAGTTTCTGGGGGCAAACTTATTATTAAGTACTTTTCTTGCCACTATTGCTATAGAAAAACTGTGTTAAAGATTGTATATTTTGCAGAAAATATTTGCCAAGTGCAGAACAAAATTTTGACAATATTGTAGAACACCAAAAAAATATTTCTATCACTCAAGGTCACCACCGAGCTCAAGGGCGAGGGAAAGACCTACATCGACATGCAGACCACCTACGACGGACCCCTTCCCATGAACACTGAAGGCCACCACGAGCTCCGCTTCACGCTGACCCACGTGTTTGACCTTCCCCTGCCCAAGGACATTGGACTGGACTGGATCGCAGACAGCAGCAAGTCGGCTCCCTATGACAGCACCTTCACCATCAGGTTTGTTTGTTTGTTTATTTGTTTATTTGGTGGCGTCGGTGGTGCAACGGTTAGAGCGTTGGACTTGGAACCAATAGGTTCCGGGTTCGATACTCACCATGGCCCGACGTTGTGCCCTTGGGAAAGGCACTTAACACAACTTCACTCCCTGTACGGTGGAGTGACACCCACCGAGCCTCTTAGGCTATTGTCTAACTGGGTGCCAAAAACACCTTACGGATTTGGTGCGCCAATGTGTCAATGTGTCAACATTGCGATCAAAAACCGTTAAATTTTTGTTTGTTTGTTTATTTATTTATTGTTAAATTCAGCCATAGACAACAACACAAAATATACATAGATCTAAAATACTCACATACTTCATTTTATGGATGACATCCTCTGAAGACCCCGAAACTAGTGAGCACAGCCAAAATATGCTGCTGCTAAACCACAGGAATATACAGCTGGTACCGGGTACATCAACTAGATGTACAGGTTGTTCCTCCTACCCTTGTACCTTATTTATATAATTGTAGTGCATTTGGCCCATGTAGGTCGTGAATGTGCAATAAAGTTCATTGTCATTGTCATTAATAACAATATTACATCATACCAGGTGGGAAGGCAAGAGGCAGGTCCACATGATCAAGTCCTTCAAGATCATCACCGAGGGAAAGAACAAGGTATATGCAGTATATATATAATATAATTACATATCATATCACGAAAGTTCATCTGTGTTCACTTGGTACATGTAGTTGCATGTTTAAATTTAAAAATTTTGATCAAAAACGAAGTTCTGAAATAAGAATCCAAAGTTCTCTCACCTAGAGCTTTCGACCAGTCACTCTAATCGTCCTCAGTAGACTGTTTGTTTGTTTGTTTGTTTATTATCATTATTATTATTATCAGGTCTACACCGGGCGTGTCACTCTGGACCAGCCTTTTGATTTCATGCCCAGCCGCATCGAGACCTCTGGACGCGTCGGAATAGACGCATTGACCTACATCACCCGTGAGATGAGCATGGACCTCACTGTCGGCCAGAAGGTTTGTTTTTTTGTTGTTTTTTTCTATAAGGCCACAGCAAGTAAATTTTATGGATGGCATCCTCTGCAGACTCCAAATCTAATGCGAGCGGGCGAAAAAAATACAAGGCGGTCCGAAAAAAACAAGGTTCCTAGATTTTAAAATTTTGACTCTGACTTTGTCCATCATTTATAAATGGTTTTGATTCAGTGGGAACATCACATGTACACAGCCAACATCACATATTACTGCATCAAAGTAACAAATAAAACATTAAATCAGAGATTTTTCTTGTCTCCTCTCGTCATAGTTATCTACCATCCACCTTGGCAGCAGACATCTTTGCCATTTTCAGCATGTTGACCACTGTCAGAAGGCAAAATTTCTTGTTTTTTTTTCCAAAATCAGGCAAAAACTAATGCGCGCGCTGATGAGGTAAATAAAAAAGGAAATTACCTTGTGTTGTTGTTCCTTCAGGTGTTTGACTTTGAGATGAAGATCCAACCCAGCTCCAACCCGACCTCCGGTAAGCTGACCGTCGGCCTGACCCAGTTTTTCATCCCCGGTCTTCCCACCGAGAACCAGATCGAGCTGTCGCAGGAGGTCAACAGGGTCGGCACTACTCAGTCCATCAAGGTCACCTGCGACAAGACCAAGAGGTGGGATGTTTGATGTTTCTTTAGAAATATATTAGGATAGGCTAAGACTAAGCACCAAGGACAGGAACAGTAGTGACCAATCAGCACCAAGGACAGGAACAGTAGTGACCAATCAGCACCAAGGACAGGAACAGTAGTGACCAATCAGCACCAAGGACAGGAACAGTAGTGACCAATCAGCACCAAGGACAGGAACAGTAGTGACCAATCAGCACCAAGGACAGGAACAATAGTGACCAATCAGCACCAAGGACAAGAACAGTTACTGTAGTGACCAATCAGCACCAAGGATAGAATTTATATGATTACAAATTTTACATGTACATTCATTAGACTTAACTAGCATAAAACTACAGAAATAGGCCCACTTAGCGAAAACGGCATTGTTCAAACATATTATGGCATCCAAGCACTACGATGTAAATGAAAAACTATGTTAATTTGTTCATTCATGTTTCAAAACGAGAGAAGAGATCCTTAAGATGTAGAGGTATCACAGCAATGTAACACGTGTTTCTTCCACCCTTGTACCCCAGTTATCTAACTTTGCCTATGTGGGGTGTGAATATGGCAATAAAGTTCATCGTTGTCAACTTTTCTCCAGGTTCGAGGTGACTCGCGAGTTGGAGAGGACTTCCTCTGGCTACACCCACACCATCAAGGCCAACCTTCCTGCTATCACACTCGACAAGTACGGCCGGCAGCAGATCTCCTTCGACATTGAACACGAGGACAAGATGCAGGTGATTATCTAGTATTTATGAAGATTTACCACCAGATATACAAGTGGAAGGGAAGACAAAACAGGTGCATTAACACCTTTACAAGTTGTCATCCCAAACACAACATGCACAATATAAATAGAGATTACATTATTCAATACAAAACAAATTGCAATAATGAACATCATTAACATGAAATATTATCACAACCATTTAATTTTCACGTGCCGACGTTTCGATGACCGTCTGTTATCTTCATCAGGGCAATTCTGACTGGTTTACTGTGCACTGACACTAGATGTTACTTGGTGCACAGTGCACTAAGAGTGTTACATAGTTCACAGTGAAGAATTGCCCTGATGAAGATGGCAGATGGTCATCGAAACGTCTGCTCATGAAAAATAAATGATTGTGATCAAAGGACTTTGCTATTCATTCGTTTACCAACCTGATGAAATTATTTACGAATTTTTATTGTTGTTAACATGAGGACGGAGAGAGGAGCCTGAAGGGATCTCTTGCCTTCCGCCACCCGTTCACCACCTACCTGCCGTACCGCGACATGGAGTTCTCTTACGACACCAAGCAGACCTACCGCACCGTGCAGGGAACCTTCAACACCAAGTGGGACAACAAGGATGCCGTCACGCTGGAGGTTAGATTCCATTTCATTTATTACAATTTTCCACATACATGGAAGGCATGGTGAAACAGGTGGACATAAGTTTATACTCCTTGTCAAGGCCACCATGCCGACAAATAAATAGACAGACAGTCATACAAATGCAGAATACACAGAATACAAATGCATAAGAACTTATTTATTTGCACAAATAAAAAGATGTAACATCCATGTCCATAATATCACCAGGGTCCATAATATCGATACCTTGAGAAACAGTGTGCTTAAAAATATTTTTAATGCAACGTACCCTAGGTATGTACATTTGATGTGAGCAGGAGTGCATACCAAAAGTTTGTTGCAGTAAAAATATCTTTAAGCACACTTTGTCTCAAGGTGGGGATATTATGGACCCTGGTGATATTATGGACACGGATGTTACATTTAAATACGTAAAACAAAAGGGAAAAAAACGGTGTACAGGAGGAGGAAAGAAGCCTGCAAGGCTTGTACAATGTCCCCCTCCTCAAAAATTGAAGGAAATATTAAACTGTTTATGATGTGAGAGGCAGTCACATTTCTGTGTATGTTACAGTTTAGCTCAGAGTCATTTACACTGTACAGCACACAGACAAATGCAAGGCTTGCAACATGTACAAGTAAGGGGAAATTCTAACATTGTGATCTCCACTGCCGCTATTAGGTGAAGTTCAACAACAAGACCCTGGGCAGCACCTACCGCTACGACTCCTCCTACACCGTGACTCAGGTCTTCATCCAGCCCAACAAGCTGCAGTTCTCTGACAACTACCAGATGGACATGCAGAACGACCAGGTATGACAAATTTCTTTTTTTTTTTTACTACAGTGTACAAAATACTTTTTGGAACCAGGTCTAACAGCCTTTAGCTAACTGATACTAGTAATAGCCATTAATACCTAAAATAAAAAAAAAAATCTGCTGGATACAGTGGTGCAGCCAAGTAGGCATAATTTTTTTTGGGGGGGGGTAGGCATGCTACCTAGTTTTGAAAATAGGTTGCCCCGGGCAACCAGGTATTTTGCACGCTGTACAAGTTTTGCTCAGTTCCCTACACCATTTTTCAAGCAGGCTGTGATGACAGAAGCAATTGACAAAAGGGATCCGATCTAAGACAGCATTTTCTGTAAGAAGACAGTTGAATGTTGTACTACACATGCACGACTCTCCCCAAAATGACTTCGATTTATTATCATGACAAACGTCCATTGCACAGCATATGTCACCGAACCCTTATTCACTTATTGAAATGCCAAGTTGTCCACATGTGGATGGTGTTCAGCACCAAGGACAGTTGTGTATGTGGATGGTGTTCAGCACCAAGGACAGGTGTGTACACCCGTGTGTGGATGGTGTTCAGCACCAAGGAGAGGTCTGCATATTTCAAGCCTAACCTGCAAATGTCTTTTTGTACAACATTTGTATTTCATCACTCAACAAAATGCCTTCATTTTTTCCTCACTAGATGAAGAACATGGACTACAAGTGGACCACCGTCTGGGATGACACCAACAAGGTTACCGGCGGTTACGGGTACGTGGACCAGTCGGACCGTTCCATGAACAAGCACTGGTTCTACAACAACCTGGAACACAACCTGGAGTACTCCCCCAAGAAGATGACCGTTCAGGGACACGTCGAGTACGAGAAGAAGGGACAGCCCAAGAGGGGGTCCAAGGTTTGTATTGGTTTGATTTCCTGCCATTTTGGGGGTCAGATATTAACTATTAGGTGCCTGATACAACTGAAGATCTAGTTCTAACCCATCATAGCATTTAAAGGGATCAATTTGCATCTTAAGATTGTTGTCGAGTATAAGAAGTAGATGTAGATGTCCAAGATGACTGAAATGTAAGATGTAATTTTGTACAGTCGTAGTGATAGTGTCATACTTGTCTGGATAGGTTGACACTACACATACATGGTAGTGAGAAGACTGAAATGCAGAATGATATGATTTCCTAAGGTCTGACACGTGAACTAGGAGGTCCCACTTTTTCATGTACTACTGTATGTTACCTTGCAAGTAGCCTTCTGGCATGAGTTTGCTGACTTAAAGTTTGACATGCTGCTTCTATTTATTATCATTACTCAGCTTGACCTGGAGTGGGACGGAGAGAAGATGTCCGCTCAGGCCTCCTACCGTGACAGGAGCAACAACCGCCAGCAGGACCACGAGCTGGTCATGAAGCTGCAGCATCCCTTCGAGCAACCCTTTGTCTGCTACGGACAGATCAGCCGCGACATTGAGCTTACTCAGCAGCTGAAGTGGCGCCGCGACTCCGTGGAACACTACACCGGAGTGGAGTTCAAGGACAAGGTCCCCCGTCAGGTATGTCTTGTTTGTTTGTTTGTTTGGTCTGCTATGGCCAGCTTAGCCGCGATATTGAGCTCACTCAGCAGCTGAAGTGGCGCCGCGACTCCGTGGAACACTACACCGGCGTGGAGTTCAAGGACAAGGTCCCACGTCGGGTATGTTTTTCTTCAAATAATACAAGACCCATTGGAAAAAATATAGAAGGGTGGAGTTCATATTGAAAGGTTTTTCTTTAAATGATACAAGGATGATCGAAAACATTATACTTGAAGCCTGGAAAGATTGCTAGCCCTTTCATTTTATTAGGATACATTCATAACTTACAATCACGAGTAAAAGTTTGCTACTGTCTTAATTTTATGTCTGGTCCTGAACTTGTCAGCTTATAGTTGCATGAATGGCACATTTTTCTAACTTTGAATCATCTGCTCTGTTTTGTTTTGTTGTGATGTGAGGCGAACACTTGTTAATGCCAACAATTCAGCCCACCAGTTTGTCTGTTTGTATTAGGATGTCTGACTCAATAAACCAAGCATACCCTTTTTTTGTCTTTTTTATTTTTATAAATCATTCTTTTATTGTTTCAAAAATTCACACAAAAGAACGCATGGCACAAACAACAAAATAACTGAAACCACATGCATAACAACAAGAACTAAATAAAAACCAGTAAACAACACAGATGATACAACAGTGTTACAAAGAAAAAAGTGAACCCCAATCACATACAATTAATTCATAATTTCTTCAAGGAGATGAAACTAGACCTATTAATTAATTAAGCATACCTTTTTTTGATCAGGTGTACAGCCTTGAGGGAGAGCACTCCATGGGCAGCCGTAAGGGCGAGGTGATGAGCTCCCAGCTGAAGTACCGCTACGACCCCAACCCCAGGAATGAACTCATCCTCGCCTCATACATCAGGAACGAGAACACCAACAGGTAAAGCTTTAGTCATTAAACTAGAAAGATAGCACTTGCAAAGCAAATGCATCATGTTTACCTTCACAATTGGTCTAGCCTAACAAACTATGGTAACTCAAACACATTCCTATATGATATATGGTGAGCAGCCACTCTAAACTCTGTCCTGCTAAATATATATAATGTAACCCAACACCACAGGCTGTCTGCTATAATGCTAGTCACCATGGTGACAGACGTCTGGTCCAGGTCATTGACTTTTTTGTTTGGAGAAGAAGAAGAGGAAGAAACAGAGCAAAAACAATAATGTTTTCCTTATGCAAAGTTTGAAATACAATGTGTTTCGTCTATATCCACATTGGTTGACATGAGATGTTTGTATGCACAGGGACACCATGAAGCAGAAGCTTGGCTTTGCCGTGCGCCACATTGACCAGCCTGTGGTCAGTCTGGACTCCACCGTCACCATGGCACCCCGTAAGACCGACGTGGCCATGGACATGAGGCTGAACAAGGATCCCTGGACCATGAACTTCCACCTCGACCACGATGCCAACCTGTTCGAGGCCAAGGTAACTGTCGACGGTTGATTTTCATAGTTTTTATTTGGCCATTTTGTATCTAAATAACACGAAATCTTGCTTGGTCCTGGCTGGACAGGCCGGAAATAGATAGATAGAAACAACACGATGATGTTCTCAAGCCTCAGCATATTTTCACTTTCAATAATCCATAGCAAGTTTCAGACTTCAGTCTACAACACCAACTTGAAGAATAAGTTAACTTTGTCTTTGAACCTCAAACGGGGACATCCGGGCTGTTTTTGGTCTATTCGTGTCATGATGAACAGATTTGTCACTTTGGTTACCCTTTATCTGGCAAACTATCATCAGATTCAGAACAACTGGTCTGCATCTATTTACAATCTCCAACACTAGTCTGACAACACAGCATCCATCTATATGTGCTAGGTATTGGCCTGTCCTTTGAAAATGATGTCATCAGCTCCTAAAATTGGTATTTCCTACCTTCTGTTCCAGCTTGACTCCCCCGTGCTGGGCCGTGGCTACACCTTTGAGCTGCAGAAGGAGGAGGACCGCCAGTCTCAGATTCTATTCAATATTTATTTTTTTATTTATTGTTTATTTCAGGCTCAATGGCCCATAGCACAGACAGACAACATTACACAAACACATCTAAAAATAAAACATCTAAGTGGGTACAAGTGGATAAAAGACTGTCGAGCCCTTACGGCGGGCGGACCAGTCTACAATAATGGCTCCAAAATGGGCTCGAGCAGAAGGTCTCCGAGCGGAGCAGCAATTTGACAATTGCGTTCTCAGACGCTAACAGACGAGAAGCAAAAGAACACAACAACTTCCGACGCCTGGCGTCAAACGTGTCAACACGAGTCTGTACAAATAGGTCGCTGTTACTAGTGCTCCTAGGCTGAGACAGTAGGATTTTAAGACCATCGTGATAAGCAACTCGTAGCCTATGAATGTTTCCTGCTCTGTAGCAGGACCAGAGCTGAGCACAATACATTGCACTGCAATGTGCTATGAACAGAGTGCGCTTCACCGCATGAGAACAGTGACCAAATTTGCGGATAAGTGAATTAGCTTTTGTGTACATATGCCTGGTTTGTTTACGAATAGAGTCGTCATCAGAGAGGTCGGGAGTGATTTGGAAGCCGAGGTAGGTGGCCGAAGAGACGTACGGTAAGGGTTTGCCGTACAACTTCACTACAGGTGGCACTCCGTTCAGAGCAATTCGATCACATGGAAAGTACATACAATTTGTTTTTTTGGTACGGAAAATCATGTCACTATCGGTACCAAAGGCCTCGCAGATATTAATCAGTTTCTGTACAGCTTTTGCTGAGGGGCAGATTAAACACAAGTCATCTGCGTAGAAGAGGTGATTCACAGCAAAATTTCCAATAAAGCAGCCCGCATTAGCGGCGTTTAACTTAGCACTAAGGTCAGAGACATATACATTGAACAATAAAGGGGACAAAAGACTCCCCTGGGGGACACCGTTGCTGCAATTGAAGTGATCAGAGACGGAGGACCCCCAGCGCACCCTAAAGGTTAACATGCTAAACCAATATACAATAATGCGTACTAAGTATACAGGTACGTTTCGGTCAATTAACTTTTTAAACAGTGTGTAATGGTTGACCCTGTCAAACGCTTTAGAAGCGTCAAGAAAACAGACGAAGACAGGCGAACCTCGGCGTCTGAAGTAGGAAATAATTCCTTTAGGGCGAAAATGCACAAGTCTGTCCATGATGTGTTTTAAAACCAAACTGATTTGCGGGTGTAGCCAAGTGCTTCTCTAGTCGGATGAGCAGGAGACATTCAAATAATTTGAAGATCGGACTGGAAATAGCAATGGGACGATAATTATTTCTGATAGGAGGGTTCAAGTTCTGCTTTTTGATTATTGGAATAAGGATGACCTTCAGTAGGACAGAGGGGACATGGCCATGCCTCAGCATGGACGAAAATAAAATAGCGAGTAAAGTGGTTAACCGAGGTCCCGCATGCTTCAGGTGCTCAGCTGACAGACCGTCCGAGTCACATGCCTTCCCATTTGGGAGCGAATTAATCGCTGCAGCTACTTCGGATACAGTAACAAACATTCCATTATCAAAAATCACATCTGAATTAATTGTGTCGTCTACAAATTTCTTACACTTGTGAGGAGCAACCGAATTCAGCAGGGAATCATAATGATCCTTCCACATTCCAACGATGTTTGAGACACCGCTGTGACCCTCGATGTTATCGGGTAGGGTAGGTTTGGAGCCATTTTGAGATCGTAGGGTTGACCAAAAGCCTACGTTCCCCCCCTTCTGAAGACTGGAGGCTAGCGCATCAGCCCGATGCTGGGCATCCATGCGGCGGCACTCCCTAAGGGACAGGTTTGAATTTGGCCCGAGTTTTCCTCATCAGGTCCCAAATGGCCCCATGTCTAGGACAGTTACATTCTCGCCAGAGAAGGAAGGCGTCACGAGCTGCAGTGTGGTATTCTCTGACAACAGAGTTCCAGCCCGGAACCGCGTGGGAGTTGGTGCAAATCCTTCTTGGGAAGGAGCTGGCAGCTGCATTTTTCAATAATATAATGTCCAACAATAGTCTGACAATACAACATGTAGGCTTTAGTCTGTTCTTCAAAATGATGTCAGCTACTAAAACTGAAATTTCCTATCCCTGTTCCAGCTTGACTCCCCAGTGCCCAGAAGTAGCCCTTGTGGCTTCAGACCCTGAACTAAGTAACACTCACTACACATAAAACCTACTTGTAGGCAAGTTTGACTAACTGAAAAAAAAAATCTGTTCCAGCTTGACTCCCCTGTGCTGGGCCGCGGCTACACCTTTGAGCTACAGAAGGAGGAGGATCGCCAGTCCCAGACTTACTTCATGCGTGGCACTAACATGACTTAAACTAAAATTTCCTACCTTCCGTTCCAGCTTGTAGGCTTTAGGCATCTCCTAAAATTGGTATTTCCTTCTCCCTGCCCCAGTTTGACTCCCCAGTGCTGGGCCGTGGCTACACCTTTGTTGTCTCGGTCTATCCTGTGAAAATTATGTCAGCTCCTTAAATTTGTTTCTGTAAGAAGTTTGCTCAGTGCAAAGCCTGTGACAAGTGCCACTTCTGAGCACTAAACTAATGCTTTACTAGTCTTCACATTGAGCTTTAATAGGCAAGTTTGGCTAACTGGCTCACTCTCTGTTCCAGCTTGATTCCCCCGTGCTGAGCCGTGGCTACACCTTTGAGCTACAGAAGGAGGAGAACCGCCAGTCTCAGATTCTATTTAATAATATAATGTCCAACAATAGTCTGACAACACAGCATAGTATTACATGCAGGATTTAGTCTGTTCTTCAAAAAGATGTCAGCTCCTAAAATTGGTATTTCCTCCTTTTCGTTCCAGTTTGACTCCCCCGTGCTCGGCCATGGCTGTGCCTTCAAGTTTGCTCAGTGCATTCCAGTGCCCAGAAGTGGCCCTTTTGGCTTCAGACACTGAAATAACGCTCACTGCACATCAAACCTAGGAAAGTTTGGCTTACTGACTCACTCCCTGTTCCAGCTTGACTCCCCAGTGCTGGGCCGTGGCTACACCTTTGAGCTGCAGAAGGAGGAGGATCGCCAGTCCCAGACTTACTTCATGCGTGGCACTAACATGACTTAAACTAAAATTTCCTACCTTCTGTTCCAGCTTGACTCCCCAGTGCTGGGCCGCGGCTACACCTTTGAGCTGCAGAAGGAGGAGGACCGCCAGTCCCAGACTTACTTCATGCGCGGCACTAACATGACTTAAACTGAAATTTCCTACCTTCTGTTCCAGCTTGACTCCCCCGTGCTTGGCCGTGGCTACACCTTCGAGCTTCAGAAGGAGGAGGACCGCCAGTCTCAGATTCTATTTATAATGTCCAACAAGAGTCTGACAATACAGCATAGTATTACATGTAGGATTTAGTCTGTTCTTCAAAAAGATGTCAGCTCCTAAAACTGAAATTTCCTCCTCTCTGTTCCAGCTTGACTCCCCAGTCCTTGGTCGTGGCTACACCTTTGAGTTTGCTCAGTGCATTCCAGTGCCCAGAACTGCCACTGAACTAAGTAACGCTCACTGCACATCAAACCTACTTTTGGCAAGTTTGGTTAACTGGCTCACTCTCTGTTCCAGTTTGACTCCCCCGTGCTGGGCCGTGGCTACACCTTTGAGCTGCAGAAGGAGGAGGACCGCCAGTCCCAGACTTACTTCATGCGCGGCTCCAGCAGTCTGGGAGACGCTCTGTTCTTCAAGATCCAGGCCTTCCCCGAGCAGAAGAAGATCGTGTTCAGGCACGGACACTCTGTCGGTCAGTGACTTTCCTAATATTCCTTAAATCTAAGATATCTCTCAATGTGAAGCTGGTGTGTTGTGCCGAGGGGCGGTTATACCGGCTACACAGAGATAGAACTTTAGAAGCTGGTGTGTTGCGCCGAAGAGTGGTTACACCAACTTTTCAGATACAGAATCAGTGGTTTTCCTTGCAACATCTAGGGTTACCTTGCAACACATGGGCATATCAATATTAATATCTTTTAAAGGTCACTTGAGATATCAGGGGGACTTAGTTGAGAAATATACTCTGAAGTTGTCACTTAATGTACATAGTATTAATTTATAGCCTGCCTTTAATTGTAAAATATTGTTTCAGTATGGGTTGTGGAAGAAACAACATTATGATTACGCATACATCAAAGGCCCAAGTTTCACCACGATTTCTCGCCACTGCAGATTCCAAGGACGAGTCCCTGGACATCGTGATGAAGTACGTGAACGAGACCGCCGTTTCCATGGAGATTTATGAAACCGAGGGCGAGCAGCGGGCCCAGACCTTCAGCGAGGTCGTTCTGCGCCTGGTCACCCCCGAGATCCTGGCCAGCAAGATCTACTACAACCCCAGGACTCCTGAGATTGTTGAGGTAAGGAAAATCAGCAACTTAAGACGAAGACAAGGGATGCCACTCAAGCAACTGTAAAGATTGTTTCAAGTAGCAACCACTCCTTTTCGACAGTCAGTATGATGCTTACTTAAAACATCTAAGAGTTTTGAACATCTATCCAGTTGCTTGTCAAGGAGTAAAAATTTCCTTGTGTATCTCATTACCTGGATGTCTGACCTTTATCAATGTAACTTAAGATGGAATGAAAGCTGGCAACTCTAGATCAAGGAACAAAAGCTTCACAACAACTTTTAGACAGTAAAACAATTTGCAAACTTTTAGTTCTACGGTATATGGTACAAGAAGGAAGATTGTTACAGTAGGCAACACATCAATGATCTGTTTTATTCCAATTGATGTGCCGATCTATGGGTCAATAAATTAATATTCAGTCCAGTCTATTAGATCAATTAATTGATCGATTGATCAATATTTTCCCCCAGGACCGTCTGAACAACCTGATTGCCAGGTTCATGCAGCACCACTTCACCGTGGCTGATAACTTCAGGAAGGCCTTCGACAAGGAGACGCGCGAGTGGATGTCCAGCGCCAGCAGCTACGGATGCACAGGCACATACTTCCAGCTGTGAGTACATGTTTTCAAATTGGTATATATCTTAGCAAATAGCATCTAATTTGGTAGATCTTAGCACATCTTAATGATATTCTGAATGCATCAAAAGTTTGTGCCCAGTCTTCTTCAAGATAACCAAGAAACTGATACATATAGCTCAAAATATAGTATATACTTACTGTATAAATCTAGATATTTTATGAGTACAGTATTGGTTTTGTACATCAATATCATATCCAGTGCTATGCAGAGCTTCTGACTGGAGCCTCTCACAGCTATATGTTACCAATGTAGTTCTGTGCTTAAATAGGTAAGGGTTAGGCACGGTTCTGGATAGTCTCCCTTCATCTAAGAACATAGATTTGCCCCAGGCATGGTTCCATGAAAGCCATTGCAGGCTTTTAGAAATTCTACAAAGTAGAGGATACTGCATTAAATACTGCATAAAAATTGGGCCCAACTAAAGGAACTCTTACCGTCTGAACGCAGGTTCATCCAGAAGCTTCGCCCGGCCGTTCTCGGTGACCGTAAGTCTGTTGCCACGCCGACCCTGGATCAGCTGAGGCGTGAGTACGGGCTGTCTGGCATCTCTCAGCGTGTCATGGGCGCCCTGAACACCGCAGCCGATACCGTCAGGCAGACATACAGGAGCACTATGGAGAAGATCATGAGTAAGTCTTGTCACCAACCATACAGTACATGTATGTAGCTTCTTAGTACAAAGGGTTGTCTGCCTTGCCTTGCTATGATGCTAGAATGATGCCACAATGATGCTAGAATGACAAGAGAGTGACGCTAAGACCTACATGTAAATTGGCATCAAACTAAAAACACTGATGATTCTAGAATGGCACTAGAATAATGCTAAAATGACATACAGGAGTGCTATGGAGAAGATCATGAGTAAGTCTTGTCATCAACCGTTTGTAGCTTCTTAGTTCAAACTTTAAGGGTCGTCTGCCTTTCCTTGCTATGATGCTAGAATGATGAAGAAATGCTGCCACAATGATGGTAGAATAACAAAAAAGGGACGCAAAAATAAGCCTAAATTGGTGTCAGAATATAAATGCTAAAATGATACTAGAATGGCACTAGAAAAATGCTAGAACGATGCTAGAATGGCATTAGGATAATGCCAGAAAACACTTGACACATCTCTCTCCCTGTTTGCGTCATACTAGCATAACATAATGATAGCAGAATGCTAGACATTATGCTAAGATTCACCAGATAAATGCCAATAACAAGCCGCGATATAATTATGGAAAAACGTTTTAATTATGGACTCCCGCCCATAAATCCCAAACACTTAACCCAACTGTCTTAATACTTTTTATGGTAACATATTAGGTGGTAATGAATATGCGGAAAGCGTTGATGAGTCCCTTGGGAATAGTCAAATTAATTATACATAATGATTTTGGTATTATACATAATTATACATAACCCTTTAGACCATTATACATAATTATACATAATTCTATGGACCATTATACATAATTATACATAACACTTTGGACCATTATACATAACCCTTTGGACCATTACACATAATTATACATAATTCTATGGACCATTATACATAATTATACATAACACTTTGGACCATTGAATTAAAACATCTTTTCCTACCCCAGAGCCTGTTGAGGACCTGAAGACCTATTTTGAGGAGACCGTGCTGAACGACCTTTACCAGAAGTGGGACGGTAAGATGGAGGACATGTCCTACAGCCTGCGCTCCAAACTCACCGACAGCCAGCGCGAAATGCTGGACAGGAACGAGGTTCAGAAGTCCATCTACGTCATGAAGAACATCGCTAAGGAGGTACGAGAAAACTTGTTTTTTTTTTTAAACTAGTTTATGACTTTATAGACTATAATCTATATAAAGAATACAGGAGTACTTGTCTTTTTTTATGAAACAACTGTGATTTATCATGACAAAAATAGCAAAAGAGGTCAAGGAAAACTTGCCTTATTTAAAGAAAGAGTAGTCTTTGACTTAATAAACGAAGAATATGGCAACAGGAGGTACAGCAAAACTTAAAAGATGAAAAACGAGAAGGAGGTACAGCAAAACTTTTTTTAAAGAAATCTAAAAAAGCCACAAGTTGAGCTGGTCCATGAGAGTTCTTCCTTTAGCTAAGGGCATTAAAATCTCAGAGGTCCACAGCAGTTCTTCCTCTAACAATAGTAACATACAGCAGTGTACTGCCATACAAGTGCAGATTTGTACCTTAGATATCAGTGCTAGCTAGCAACTGATGATGAACTACTAGTAACTGTGAAGCTTGTACATCTGCCAGGTCGATTCCCAGATGAATTGCCATGACCGAAAACTGGTTTAACGTTCAGGACCATACAAAACATATATATAGTTTTGTGGTTTGGACAATAGTAGATAACTGTAAATCTTGCCCATCTGCCAGGTGGGTACTGAGGTGATGTGCCAGATGAGGAAGAACATGCAGAGGTCCATGGGAGTCGTCCCTCTGCCCATGTACAACACTAAAGAGGTCCATACTAGTTACTATGTACATGTACAGGGTACAGATATCAGTACTAACTGTGAATCTTACACACTTGTCAGGTGGGTACTGAGGTGATGTGCCAGATGAGGAAGAACATGCAGAGGTCCATGGGAGTCGTCCCTCTGCCCATGATGAGGACCAAGATCCACCAGCTGAACCTGGTCCAGGGCCGCATCGCTGCTGACCTGCACCTGCCCTTCAAGTGGCACAGGTAAGCAGCTGGGGACATGCTAGCTTCATCCTATGGTTCACACACTCACAAAGGCTTGGTTTGGTTTTGTTCCTGGACTAGATAGCATCTGCCCTTTCCATCAGAAAGCAATAGTAACACTGTCACAAGTCAAGAAGTCTATTTCTCTCTGGGCAATGCTAGCTTCACTCTATGGTTCACATACGAGCATGTGTTGGTTTTGGTTTTTGTCTTGGACTACATAACATTTACTCCTTTTCATTAAAGAGAAAAATCATGTTATTTGCACACTTAGAAAGAACTATGGTCTTTGTTCTCTGTGGTCATGAAACTCGTCTTTGATGAGTAAGACTCCAGACAGATTAATATGTGCTAAGTCTTACACTCCTGTAGTTGTGTGAGGCACACGTTACAGTATAATCTAATAAATTGCAGTTACTGAATTGCTAAATTGCTAATGGCAATGGCCCCAATTCTCTTGCTTGCTAGGTGCTTGACCAGTAGACGGGCTGCTAGAAATGTGATGTAGTTATAAGGCTACTGCATTTATCTCCAAGCAAACCTTTTCCTTCATCTCTGCAGCTTCGAGTCAATGCCCCAGCCGTACGCCCAGATGGTGGACATGTGGGAGAACCAGATCAAGCCCATGGCTAACTACTCTGTCTGGGACACCATCTACCGCTACAAGCCTACCTCCTACAGCATGGTGCCTCCTTTCATGGGTATGTCCTAACTTATTCTGTAATCTCGTCTTAAACAAACAAACAAACAAACATCTACCGCTACAAGCCTGCCAGTTACAGCATGGTGCCTCCTTTCATGGGTACGTCCCAATTCATTCCTTAATCTCAACACACGAACAAACAAAAATTTGCAAACAAAAACAAAGATCTACCGCAACATGCCTTAAGCAAATAGGTTGTTTCCTCATTCTTTTCCTGTCATTTGCAATTAAGCCAAGAAGTTTAACACAGTATAACAGACGTGTAGCAGACACCCTGTGGTGTTGGGTTACATTATGTAGCAAGTTGCAGGACAGAGTTAAAGGGGCTGGTCACATACATGTATAATGAAATTGTTTGAGTAAGAATAAACATAGAAGTTTTTTAGGCTAGACCACATGAATACATTGTGCCTTTGCTTTGCAAGTGTTTCTTTCTACTGATAGTATGTCATTCTAACCTAGATTTCCTCTTACATTTTGTATTTCCCCAGCTGATGCCCTGATCTCTGGCAAGCAGCACTTCCTCACCTTTGACAAGAAGCACTTTGAGTTTGGCGGAGACTGCAGCTACGTTCTGGCACGGGACATGATCGACGGAAACTTCAGCGTCGTGCTGAACTACCACTCCGGCTCCGAGCTGCAGAAGAAATCCCTCGTCGTTATCATCGATGAGAAGACCTACGAGATCTTCCCAACCGGCGTGGTCAGTTCTTATTCTATTCACAATGGAACCATACTTTACCCAGAACCATGCCTGGGGCAAATCTACATGTAATAGTACATTCCATTGTAGATTTCCGTTTATCTTCCCCAGACCTACGAGATCTTCCCCACCGGTGTGGTCGGTTGTTTCATTGAATAATTCTTACTAGAAGTTTCCTCTACCGATACGATAAGGGATAGACATAGAAGCAACAAAAAGCCAAGCATAATCTGTCAGTTCTCAACAGCTCCCAATAAATTAGATGTGAAAACATGCTTTATCCTGAAACTATAATCATGATAATCATTGTGAAACCTGCTGCCATCAATCTATCCATTTTCTTGAGTATCTCATCACCTAGTGAAGACTGAAAACTATTGATTGTATTCACAAATGGTTAATAAACCAAACCAAACCAAACCTGGATGTCTAACCTTCATCATCTTTTTAATAATTCTCCCCCTTCTCAGATGAAGCGTGAGAACCAGGACACGGAGCTTCCCCTGCAGGACAAGAACACCGTCATCCGCCGCGAGGGCGAGCGCGTCGTCGTCTCCAACTCCAACGGAGTGGCCGTGACCTGCGACCTGACCCACGACCTCTGCAACGTGCAGGTGTCTGGCTGGTACTTCGGGAAGACCGCCGGTCTGTTCGGCATCTACAACAACGAGAAGAACGATGAGTTCACCAGCTCCGACGGCACCAAGACTCAGGTACATTGTAACACTATGCAAGGAACTCAGGGCTTGTTTGAGGAAGATTGTGGTGCAGCTTTGAGGGTAAAAAGCTGGTATTAATGATAAACTGAGCTATTTGTACATGGAAACTTGATTCAGTTTCTCTTGTTGCAATTTCACGATGCTTGTTGTAAGACCGTGGCTTTCTAATATTTGTTTACAAATTCTAAATGCATCTTTATTGTCATTGGGCACTTTATATTCCCGATCAACTGAAAAGCAAGGTTCCTATTATATTAACTTAACCCAAAAGCCTAGAGTTGCATGGCTAGCTCTTCAAGAAATGCTACCTGCGAATGAACTCTTCTTTTGAATGACAGTCCAACCTGATGAAGATTATTCACAACTTCATCACCACTGAGGTTACGGGCGTATTGCATATTTGTGACTGAGCACATACATTCCTTTGCATACTCAGGACCTTCTGCAGTTCACCAACAGCTGGGATGTGAGCAAGAACTGTTGCAGGAAAATTTGCATATTCGTGACTGAACACATACATTCCTTTGCATCCTTAGGACCTCCTGCAGTTCACCAGCAGCTGGGACGTTAGCAAGAGCTGCCGCAGGAACCGTAACAAGGCTCGTACCTGCAGCCCCGGCCCACAGGACAGCAGGGCTGAGCAGGTGTGCAGGCAGATGTTCAAGGACCAGAGCTCCCCGCTCAGGAGATGCTTCAACATCGTAAGTATGGCCATCTGGAGAATGAGTGAATAAAAGAGTGAATGAATATCTAGGGAACGAGTGACGAGTGAGCGATTGAATGAATGAACGAGTTATCCACTCAAGTGATGCTGTATCAGCATTGTAAATCTGTCAGAACCATACATCTGGGAATAAAAGAAGGAACGAACAGCATGCCAGACAATTTTTATAAATGATAATCATTTGAGCACAAACACCCTGCAGTGTACTAAACTGCATGTGCCCCTGTCCCCAGGTTGATGTGACTCCGTTCCACGACATGTGTAAGTCTGACGTCTGTGAGAACCAGAACTCCGTGAACCCGTCCACCCTGCCGTGTAACGTCACCGCTGCCTACATCGAGCAGTGCCGTAAGGCTGGCGTGCCACTCAACATGCCCAAGATGTGCGGTGAGTCTTTTTATTTATTTATTTATTCGGCTTACAAAGAAGCCAGGGTGTCCCAACTAGTCAAAGACTATTACTAAGGGACACCCTGGGGGAAAGATGAAAATTGTTAGACATACATGGGAATACATATTACAAATTACAGTGAGTCTTTTGTTCACTTTTGTCTGCTTTAATTCACATAGAGAGCATGGCCTTGCTAGTGTGAAGGCTTGTTGACTGCTGCCTACCCCTCTACATGTGTCAGGGACCCCCGTAGCAGTATAATCTAAGCCTGGATAAGGAAAATAAACTTTAAGTCTTAGAGTATCACGCTTTAAAGCTGCAGACCATCGCGAGTAAGAACAACTATTACAGGCTCTCGTTCTTCCCTCGCACCATCAAGGAGTGGAATGAACTTGAGCCCAGTGTGGCGGAGGCGAAGTCCATCTCCCAGTTTAAAGCTGAGCTGGGACGGGCTTCGCTGCATTGAGCTGCTTCCCGGTCCTTGTACATATGTAAATACGTGTAACACTAGCACCACTGATTTCACTTGTCCTGTCCTTGCACTTGTCCATGTCCACCCCTACCTTACCCTTTGTTTGCACTTTGCACACAGTATTAATGCGCAGCTGCTAGTAATCTTCTCTTTAGAAGGCTAAGCAGTATCAAAGATGATGATGAAACCACCTTCAGGCCTGACACACTAGTTGTGTACAGTAAGTGCAAGATGTAGATCCGTCCAAAACCTCTCGAGGTGTCGACTTGGAGTTCAAAATTAGACCAGAGCCACTCACACAGGCATTCTGAGCACTGCAGTGCTCAGAATGCCTGTGTGCAATGCCTGTAGCTCTATTGCAAAGTAAGATCAGTCAATATTGCCGCAAGGAGGGTGACGGACAGGCAATGAATCATGAATTTTTAAATTTTATAAATTTAATAAATTAATAATAAATCTAATAATTTTTATTTAAATTTAATAAATTTTTTCCTCCAGTGACAAACAAAAAACCTACCTTTGAGGCTAGTCTTCAGATTGAAACTAAAGCTTTTATGTTTTTGTTTCCCCCAGTGACCTGCCAGAACCCTGACGGCTCCGTGTTCCACGAGGGTGAGCAGAGCCGCATCACCGACACGCGCAAGGTCAACACGGCCGACATCGTTGTCGTGGTGGAGGAGAAGACCTGCAACCGGCGCAGGGCCCCGCAGCTCACTGACCTGGTGCAGTACCTGGATACTCAGCTGCAGCGCAAGGGTAGGTTATATCGTCACTGTAATTGTACCTTATACTGTCACTCACTGTAACTCTAACCCTAACTCAAATGCCGTTGGGCACCGCAGCTCACCGATCTGGTGCAGTATCTGGACACTCAGCTGCAGCACAAGGGTAGGGGACATAATCATAGTACTGAGTAGTACCTAACTAGGTTAGGTATTGTGAACTCCTTGTAGACATATTAATGTCATAGAATTTCAAGCAGGCTGTGACAAGACCAACCAGTGGCAAGGATCTACGATCAAGGATCTTTTCTGTAACAAGGCAGTTGATATGAAGTTTGTAATCAAACTGATTTGAAAAGAGTAATCTTTCTTGCAGCCTGAGATGGCATCAGAGCAGGTTTTCAAGCTTGTACTTGACTGAGCTTGACTAAGACTAAGACTAAGCTTCTTGTTTTAATTCCATTCTTCTATCCCCCAGGAATGAAGGACAACCGCTTTGCCCTGGTTGGCTATGGCGGTGAGGGCGTCCACGACGAATCTCACACCCACACCATCTCCGGACAGCTGTTCCACGACGCCCGCCAGTTCGTCCTCGGAGTGGAGAAGCTGGAGTTTGGGGAGGGAACCAACAACGACGCCTTCACGTCGCTGCGCATGGCCGCCGACTATCCGTTCCGCACCGGCGCCGCCAAGTCCATCGTCATCCTGTCCTGCTCCGAGGAGTGCCAGGAGTCTCAGGTGAGAACAGGTGGTCTTAATTCAGGTGTTAGATCCTTACACAGCAGGTGTTCTAAGGTGTATATTATAAACATAAGGCTGTTTGTAAGTCCATCGTCATCCTGTCCTGCTCCGAGGAGTGCCAGGAGTCTCAGGTGAGAACAGGGGTTCTTACTTCAGGTGTTAGATCCTCCCACAACAGGTGTTCTTGGATGTGGCCTATACGTGTTATGTCAGGAGACACAGTTAAGCACTGGTGCTCTTCGATGTATTTGTACATAATATGTTGGGAAACCCAGGTAGATACAGGTCTTCTAAGATTTGCATGTATAACAATGTAGGGAAATTTATGTGATTTACAAAGCCTTCTTTTTGACTTCACTGAGGTAAACAAAGGTGTTCTAAGAGTTATTATAACGTAGGGGAATCTACAAATTAGAAAATTGTCTATCTGGGAACAATTCAAAAACATTGTATAGTCAGCAAAAGAAACCAATATCAAAATGCCAACCATAGCTAGAGCCTGAAATTTGATGGTGAATCATTGAATGACTGGCACCAGGAAGAGGAAGCCTTTAGAAGCCCCTATACCGTCAGTGTTGTAACGTCTTGATTCTCCCCCCTCAGGGTGACTACAAGCAGATCTCTTCCATGCTGAAGGAGCGTGACATCACCGTGCACCTGCTGAAGGACCACCGCTTCCGCCTCAGGAAGACCAAGGACATCGACAGGGTCACCATCTACGGTAAGACGTCTTAATAACCCAACAAATGTATCTTAAAAACTGACCAGCATTCATATATACTTAAGGTATGGAAGTACAGTTGTTTTTGGTGGGCTGTCTGTGGTTTGCGTAATATCTGTTTGTCAGTTCAAAATGTCAGACACAGGAAATGGGGGTAAACAAGAACTCAAAATACTTCCCATAGGTCGGTAGTCTCTGATTTCATGTTCAGGCCTGGAATGCGGTCTTAAAAACGTGTTATAATTTAATACTTTATTGATGAAACCATGGATAGGACAGTGTCAATCTTTTCTTCAGATAAATTCCCGAGCTAGTGGAATCTTGCTTGAGTTCTTTATTGGTGTGTTTGACAGAAAACCTTGCTATATATTTGATGATAACCATGCGATGTTAAATTTGTTATTTTGTCATGTTGGAACCTTGGTCTTGGACTTGAGTTCTGCATTGGTTTGCTTGACAGAAAGTCTTGCTGTACATTTGATAATAACCATGCAATGTTTTTGGTTATTTCCTCAGGTCTGGACCGTCGTGAGGTGTTCACCAGTAAGGACGTGAGCCGCGACTTTGACAAGTCCAGTCTGCTGCAGTACGTCAAGGCTCCCAAGGACATGTGCTCCGCTCTGGCGCTCGAGACTGAGGTGAGCTGTCATTTATTTACTCTTTTTATCATTCACTATAAGTAAGTTTTATTCATCAATCCATTCATTCACTGACTGGAAACTGAGGTCACAGATCATACATTAACTTCCTCATTGCTTCTTTCAGATATTTCAACATATACGTAGTTCTTGTTCTGCCGCAGTTTAATTTATCCCTAGGATTGTTACTTTGACTCTAAGTAAAATGCTATCAAAAACTATCAAATGCAAATACTGCAGCTTGCATGTACAGCAACACTAACCTGTTATTTTATCTTAGCATGGCAGTTGATCTGTGCTGGTACAAGTCATTATGAAATAAAGACTAAACTTTAACTGCCAGCACTATAATGAATTGGGACTTACCCCTCTTATGTTATCCCTTTTCCAGGGCTGCATCTTTGACTCCAACTCCATCAACAACAAGGAGTTCCTGGATGTGTACAGCCGGCGCGTGTCCGGCTCCGTGCGCCCCGCACCCTGCCAGGTAGGGCTCTTGTGTTTTAGAAATGTTAAATAGGAAACATAAGATACCGCTACAGTCTACGGCGAGAGGGCCGCTTCCGAGCAACCAAGAGCAGAACCAAAAGACATGAACTGTCCTTTGTCCCCAGAGCACTGAAACTGTGCTACCACTCTGGCAACTGATTCTTACAACTCCATGTTACAACTTACTGCTTCCTAGCGATATGCAAACTATGTGTAAATAGTTGTTCTTTGAAATTTGAGGACGTAATATATATTGTCCGTGTAAAGTGTTTTTAAAATTTTAAAACATAGTTTTTATCAATCTTCTGTGTGTATTTTAAACATTGTCAAATATTGGCTCAATTCAAGTTTTTGTGAACTTCTAACATGTCATGCCAATGTGAACTAGAAAGGCCAATATTTGCTTTGGAGCAAATATAGCGATGGGTTCACCACATTTTACCACATGGCAGGGAAAGAATGAGAAACACAAGGGAAAACAATGCTTTACATTGATATAACTATAGTATGAAGTAACATACAACTAAGACTACAACAGTTGGATAGCTATTCCCTACATTATTGGTTAGGATTGCATAATGCAAACTGTTGATTTTCAAGATAAAAAGAAGCGTTCATAGCCCGCATTCCAATGCTGGAGCAGGAAAGCTTAAAATACCTACCAAAACACTTGAATACAGACATACTGTCAGTATGGCATGGCTCTGTGCAGGTGTAAATGAAGTTAAGCCAGTTAAATCCCAACAGCCAATCAGCAAGGAGAATAGAGGAAAGCTGCATGCCTATTGGTTGATGCCTTGCATGCCATTGTGATGACTCATGTCCAAATGTGGTAAACACTGCACACTTACACAGTAATACATTAGCTATTACACAGCCAAAAAACTCAAATAAAACCATTCTAAAAGCCTGTATCACAATAATTTAAAAAACGCCTAGGGGTATTTGCCCACTGTACCTCCATACCAAATTTCAGGACCTTAGGCCCTAAAATGAAGAAGCTGAATCCATTTAAAGATATGGCAGGAGGAGGAGGAGGAGGAGAAGGAGAAGGAGAAGAAACATCAGAAAAAGCAATATGGTTTCACCACACCACTTCGTGGTGTGGTGAACCCATAATAAAGCTGAATCTGAAGTTGAGTGCTTACCGGTATTTAAAAAGCCCTACGCCAACTTCATTCCTCTCTTCCTGCAGGTGTGCGACTGTGTGCAGGACACTTGGGGCGCCCCCAGGTCCGTCTGCAGGAAGTGCGACGAGGCCTTCAGCGTCGACATCCCCGTGAGTTACCCTTGCTGTGGTTACTGTTGCTAGATTACCATTGCTAGGGTTCTTGTTGCTAGGGTTACTGTTGCTAGGGTTACTGTTGCTACAGCTACATGTACTGTTGCTAGCATTACTGTAAAAAAGCTACTATATGGTTTCTATTGGTAGTGTTACTGATGCTGCTGTTACTGTTGCTTTGGTTACTGTTGCTAGGTTACTGTTGCTAGGGTTACTGTTGCTAAGGTTACTTTTGCTAGGGTTACTGTTGCTAGGGTTACTGTTACTGGGGTTACTGTTGCTAGGTTACTTGCTACATGGGTTATGTTGCTAAGGTCACTGTTGCTACCTGGCTACAGCTGTTAGGGTTACTGTTGCTAGAGTTACTGTTGACAAAGTTACTGTTGCTATAATGGTTCCTACAGCTATGGTTAGAATATTTTATCTTCAGCATCAACAACCCCAAGGAACATTTCGAAAAATGGTCGTAGAAGACAGAGGGCCACTAGTAGGCAGAATTCCTAATGATTGTTTCAAAATATTCCAAAAAACTGCAAAGTGGTCACACTAGTGTATTAGCTGTTATTGAAATAGTGCTGTGATGCTAGATGCTAGATAGAGGCAAGTAACATTCAATACTGAAAGCCTGTGTTAGATTAGACACCCACTTATACACTGTTGTTTTCTTGTCCTTCCAGATCTTCTCCTTCGATGAGTCCTCCAAGCAGAGCAGCCCCATCAGGAGCAAGTGGTGGCCTCTCTTCTAAACGCTTTCCAACAAAAACCGCTTCCTTATAGACATGTTCTGATGTAGACACATACTTTTTGCAATTATATATAAAGGAAAAAAATAAGCATAAACTCTTGAGGTGTAAAAGATTTCGTACTACACAGTTGTGTTGAGTGTTATTAAAACGTTGTTGAGTTTTCATATTGTGATTAAAGTGTTGATTTACAAGCAAATTAACTCGCCTCCTACTCTCGAATCTATTGTGCTCGCTCTTACATACTTTCCCAGTTTGCTGCAAAAGAAAAAACAACACAGAAAGCTGCTTTTTTTCTGGCTATATTAGACAGGATACTATCATGAAAGTTCATCTGTGTTGGCAGTTACATGTTTAAAGTTAAAACTTTTGGTCCAACACAAAAAAGTTCTCTCACCTAGACTGGTCGAAAGATCTAGGTGAGAGAACTTTTTATGTTGGAACAAGAGTTTTAACTTTAAACATAGACAGGATACATCCTTTCTCTGTGTGGTGCTATCATCCAAAAGCATGCAAGTATCAATGCAATGGTATTTAAAAAGTCGGTAACTATGTTAAGACAGGGTGTTAACAATGGGAGAAAGGTTCGCTATAGCCAATCTGGTATTGGTGATTAACGTGATAATGACTTGAAGGTGGTTTGGATCGAATGACTAAGTGATAATAATCAGGGAATATAAAATGCCGATCGTTTTCAGATGTGTTTCAATAATTGTAGATTACAGAAGATATACTAGAACCTAACGTTTGTATCGTCGAAGAGAGTTTGTTTGTCTCAATGTGGTTGTTTGATATACTTTCAATAAAATGATGAATCATAACACAAAGATTTCTTGTGATTCCTTGTTAATTCTAGCATGCCTTTAAGATTGATTTCTACTAAGAAGTAAGACTGATACATGTAAGTAGTAAGGTCAATCTAAAGGCTGTTAACTATCATATAGCCAGGCAACATTGACCAATCAGAAGTCTCCATTTTATATTGGTTTTGACATGAGCCCTTTAACAAGTTCTGTGAATGAAAGTATATAGTAGGGTGGATTCATTCCTCAAGCTAACTGACATCTAGTACACTGTAGCTGTCCCTCAGTAAGACATCTGGAGCTGCACAGTTCCCGTTCAGAATTTTTATTCACTCTGTCACGTGGCAGAAAGAATATCGTTTGCAACTAAAACTGGGCCAATAAAGGAGGTCCTTAGGCCCAAAATATTTGTACAAATCACATAAGTAGTAACAAAACTCATAACACAACCATAACTAACACATTGGGTATTAGCCTGGTATCCAGTCTGATTCGTGGTCGGGGCCGCAAGAGCTCTGTCCTGCCCGCCTCACATAGGTTTCCAGGTGTGTATTTCATGAGAGATTGATTAGCCCTCCAAATCCCCAAGCATACTGTCTCTTATTAGCGTAACACTCCTACCGGGACGGCCTGTTGCACTGGGCAGGGGAAGCTACTAGTATTAGAGCCCCTGAAGACACAATCTGCCCGAACACCCCAACAGCCCCAATCACGTAAGACTGGATACCAGGCTAGTTAGGTATAGATTAAGATATGCATGTTTGTAATACCCTATTGGGATTAGTTTGTTAGTGGGCCTTAGCTTTCCTCTTGCCACTGCTGTAGTCCCCAGCAGACAGGGCTAACAGCTTGTAGTACACGGCTAAACCAAACGTGGCGATGGATCCAACCACTACCAGGTACTCTGCTCGGTTAGAGTAGGGGGTGCCGCACATGGTGTACCTGTAACACAGAAAAACAGCACTGAGTCGTTGCTGGATTAAAAAGCTATATTACTGTTATCTCCAAGCAGATCCTACGGTGGCAAGGCAGTCTGTGGCAAACGAAGAGAAACAGCACTGAGTCTAGTCTCCACCAGACTCCTTTGTAGGCTGAATAAGTTGTAGAAATATGTCCAGCCAACTCCCCTGGCCAGCTACCTTGTTCTTTTTACGCCGATTTCTACTATTCATTTGAAGCTTGCAAGGAAGTCTGGTGGAGACTAGATTAAGTCATTGCTGTACTAAAAAGTTACAATTACATCTGTAATCTCCAAGCAGATCCTATGGTGGCTAGGCAGTCGGTGGCTTATGCTCACTGCTTTGTCAATGGTTCAACAAGCTGCCTTGCCACCGTAGGATCTGCTTTGAGATTCCATCACTACATGTATTTCTGTGCAAAGCTAATATGCATAAGGTTTACTTTCACATGGTCTAGCCTAACAAACTACTGCTCTGTTTATTCTTACACAAACACATTCGTATATATTATAATAATGTATGGTGAGAAGCCCCTCCAGCTCTGTCCTGCTACATAATGTAACCCAACACCACAGGGTGCCTACTACAGCACCAGTAGTTACCATGGTGGCAGACGTCTGTTCCAGATCATGACCTTATGGTTCCCTTATGTGTTTGGAGAAGAAGAAGAGGAAGAAGAAACTGAGTAAACACAATATGTTTCGGATCCCTTCTGTAAACTTCAAGGGATACTACAGACATCAAATCTTTGGACTCGGATGTCAAAAGAACCATACAGCATGCAGCACCCTTTATATAGATGGCATAAGGTTAAGCAAGAGTTGCAGAACTGAAAACTCTGACAAGCCCAACATCAAAATGGACACGTACCAGTCCATCCCGTGGGGTGGGGGTTTACCCCCGGGTAGACAGTGCCAGTCGAAGTACCCCTCGTCATAGTCAGTCACGTGCGAGGTACCGACCCTTCTGGACAACCTGGGGAGTTACGGGTCAGAGGTGACAGGTCAGAGGTTACGACCTGCCCTGCTACATCACATAATGTACTTGTGACAACCTCAGTCGCTCAACGGATATGACTGGGTCAGACATAATTATGTTACTAAATTTGGAATGTTTTTCTAGTAAAGGCTAGCTAAATGGATATGACTGACATATAAATATTAAAGTTTGGAAAGTTTGGAGAGTCACAATTCGAATATCCGTGAAACTCTCACAGGATGATGATGGAATATTTCTCCGGTAAAGGGTTAGAGGTGACATGAAGTCGGTACCGCCCCCCGTCTCACTTCAGAGAAGTTTTGTAGAAACCAGTTTTCTTTTCTCCGATGGTGACCTAAAATTTGACCAAGTTATCCACCCACTGAGAACATTTTCGGAATGCTCTACTGATACAGTTTAGCATTACTCTTGTTTGTGTGTGTGTGTGTGTGTGTGTGTGTGTGTTGTTTGTTTGTTTTTGCAACTCACCGGTCCGGTTGCCAGGTACATGTCCCCCTCTCGTTGCTTGTTTATTTGCTTGTTTATTTGTTTATTTGTTTTCCTGCTCACCGGTCCGGTTGCCAGGTACATGTCCTCCGTCTCATTACTTGTTTGTTTGTTTATTTGTTTGTTTTCCTGCTCACCTGTCCGGTTGCCAGGTACATGTCCTCCGTCTCATTACTTGTTTGTTTGTTTATTTGTTTGTTTTCCTGCTCACCTGTCCGGTTGCCAGGTACATGTCCTCCGTCTCGTTGCACGGCCCTGTCGGCTGGTGCAGTCCGATCGAACGCGCGTGTTCGGGCGTCGCCGTGGCAACGACCACCCACATCGTCAGGAAGTTGAGCAGCACGGAGACGGCGATCTCGTCAAACCAGCCTTGGCGGGCTGTTAAAAAGGCGGGAAAAACGTCAGCGTCACAGAAATCGTATACCATATATGGCGTTTGCACTCACGTGATTATGACGTCAGCTTTGTCCGCCATGTTGGAAGGTTACACCCAGTGATTTTCTTAGTTAAACCCAGACGTTTTCTTAGTTTCTGACCCAAAATCTCAGTTCCAATTTCCTTTTTTTTAGGTTTCTGCATCACGTTTCTACGGTTTACTTATAACCATTTGGCAGAATAAATCACGAAGGTGCAAAGAACACAGACAAAAAAAAACAGTATGTGCTACCTGAGTTGTTTCTAGCCTCGGCAGGACGGTTCCTGTCCGCTCCCCAGACGACCAGCACGAAGATACAAATCTGCATGAGTACAAACACACCCACGCACCCACCCACACACACACACTCACACACGTACACACACACACACACACACACACACACACACACACATAACAAACAAACAAACAAAAACATCTCACCTGAGTTGTTTCTAGCCTCCGCCGGACGGCTTCTATCCGCTCCCCACACAACCAGCACAAAGATACAGATGAGCATGAGTACCGGCACCTCGGCGTGAACTCCGAGCACGTCTTTCACGATGTGGAACAGCGGCACAAACTGAGTCGCCACGCCGACGGGAAACGTCAGGAACACCGCCACAGCAGCGCTGCCCAGCTCAGCAACCAGGCTGGGGGGTATCAATCATTTAGTACAGAAAATACGTTAATTGTACAGTGATGTGGTCCATGCTCATGCCCGCCACCAAACTATGGAGTTATCATTCATTTAGCATAGAAATTACATCCATTTTATATTTACATTATCTCCACCCAACTTCGCCAGGGAACTGTAGAGATACTATTCAATAAGTAGAGAAAAAAACGTATCATCATGACCTAGCACCACAAATGAATTGTGGAGATATCGTTCATTTAGTAGAGGAAAGCCAGTCATGTTTACAGTTACACTATCTCTAATGGCTTGGTCTTGTAAACCTCCGTCGTTCGAGGTTTGCTGTTTGAAATTTTTGGAGATACTACGACAGAACTGACAATCCACAAGGGCCTCTCGGGCTCCCTAGATCTTTGAGGCTGTACTGTAGCTCAGTTCTTCGCCGCTCGGCTTGACTAGGCACATTGGTAAGAGTTTTAAGCTACTTACTAACTGATCCAGTAGCAAAAGGCGGTCCCTACATTTAGTCTGTAGATTGCTGATGAGAATTATTGGTAGGATTCTGAGTCTTAGACTTACCCACTCCTCTGGAACATGCCCTGCCCTCCCATCAGCCCGTGTACTCCGTGGAACAGCAGTGTGAAGCTGGAGGCGAAGGACAGACGCCAGTACGGACTGCCCCACGGAACCCAGTACGTCCGGTCAAACCTGCATGGTGGGGAACAACGAACATGATGCTCCAACTTTCAATGGTAATCACAAGTTACAAAGGAATCTGTCAGACACTACAATTTTATATAATTCCAACAACGTTGCTCCAAGTCTAAATGATGATCCGGCAACATACGGGCATCTTATACTATTAGTGTCCGGCTAATTACATCACACTTCAAGCAGCTCTTCC